AAAAGTCGCCGTTTTGTTAACGTTTTCATTTTTACTACAACTAAACCCTCTCTAACCTATCAATATCCAACACTATGACAAGACACCCGCCACCCGTCGTATGTTTTCCTTTTTTCTACAGCTTAAACCATTTCTGCGCTGCCAGCATTTCTTACAATTGACACACACAAAAGTCGCCCTTTTGCCATAAATTCCCATTTTTACTTTAACACAAACCCTCAATGAGCGGTTGGCATTCGCTGCTATGACACAAAAGTCGCCGTTTTGTCATAAAGTCTCTTTTTACTTCAACTCAAACACTCCTTGAGTGGCCGGCATCCATTAATATATCACAAGGGTCGCCGTTTTGCCATAAATTACTTTTTTTTTTTTTGACTTCACCTCAAACACTCCTTGAGCGGCCAATATCCAATAATGTGTTACAACGGCCGCCATTTTGCTAAAGTTTTCGTTTTTACTACAACCTAAACCCTCCCTAAACTACCAACATCTAACACTATGACAAGCCGCTCACCCCTCTGTCGCACGTTCTCCTTTTCACTATGGTTCAAATCATCCCTGATTCGTTGGCATTCACTACTACGGCACAAGGGTCACAATTTTGCAATAAATTCCTCTTTTTTATTTCAATTCAAACCATCCCTGGGCGGCTGGCCTCCAAAAATATGTCACAACGGCCGCCACTTTTCTAAAGTTTTCATTATTGCTACAATCTAAATTAGCAACATCTAACAGTAGGACAAAACACTTCTCCCTGTTACTACATCTCAAACCACCCCTGAGTGACGAGCCTACGATACCCTGACACAGATGATGATGCTGGCGCACGAGCCGTCCTTTCTCATATACCCCCGGTCATCAAGCCGCCTTCCTAGGTTTCTTTATCTAAACCCTAAAACGACCACCCGTCAAAAGCCCAAAACGGCCGCCCATCACTGTCACATATAAGTCTATTTTCATATTCCCTATTTCTAGGTTTCTCTATCTAAACCCTAAAACGGCCGCCTGTCAAAACCCTAAAACGGCCGCGCGTCACTGCCGCCTATAAGTCTATTTTTATATTTCCTAAATTGTTTCGTTTTGTAACATATATATATCCACCGCTAACAAACCACCCCTTATTTTTTCTATTACAGAACCCATAAACCAGCACCAACCCTATTAGTCGCCATGTCATCCCGGATCCCCTGCTCCGCCCGCCTTAACGACAGCTTTTAAAGAAAACGACGCGGATGATAATGATGGAACCCGAGCCACACTTTCTCTCTACCACTGAGCCGCCTTCCTAGATTTAATTATCTATCCCCTAAAACGAAACTGCGGGTGTGCATGTGTGCGTACGGGCGTACCCCGTTGAGCAATTGGCAAACCGACTGACGTATTTTCCTAACCGGCCTGCTCCAGCAGAATTACCACTGAATCCTAATGACCAATCAGAACCTTCGAATACTTATTTATAAAGTCAGATAGGCTGCCCATTAGGCCTATATATATTACTTACGTCCTTTTCAGGACGTAATTTTTTCTTATTTGAAGCCCCACTCTGGCTTTTGCCAGGGGCCGCAATATAGGCAGGCCATCAATATGGCCAATTGTCTGAACGCGGTTTCTGGGACCTCTCCACGGTGATCCTCATCCGCATGGTGGCACTTTGTGTCATCGGGTGTTTATCGCTTGTGTGATGTCCTAGTGGGGTAGAAAGTCAGTCAGTCAGCCCATTAGGCCCCTTCTCTTCGGCCCTTCAAACCATCCCTGAGCGGTCGACCTTCGCTCCCATGACACAGATAATGATGATAGCGCTCGAGTCGCACTTTATCATATATCCCCGGTCATCAAGCCACCTTCCTAGGTTTCTTTATCTAAACCCTGAAACGTCTCCCCTCTGCCACCTGTCACTGCCGCCTTTAAGTCTATTTTCATATCCCCTATATTGTTGCAACAAAACACTCCCAATTTTGTCTATTACAGAACCCAGGAGCCCGCACCAACTCCATTAGTCAACCTGTCGCCCCGGGTCCCCTGCCCAGCCCGCCCCACTGCTCACCTAAATATTGTTAATGACGTCGCCATTTATATAACCACATCGACAGACGTGTCAAACGCCATCTGTCGTCCACGGCTTTGAAGATAATAATTCGCCTGCAAAGTATCGCTTTGTTCGCCTGAGCAATAATACGCTAAAGAAATATCGATTTGCCTTCCTTAAATCACTCAGCCTTAAAATACCCACACCCCGACATACCGACAATGAGTCAGCAGTTGCTATGGAGACAATGCAAAGTATTGATTTATGCACCATATGTCTTTCCCTGCCCGGGAAAACCAATCACTCGTGCTGTCATCAGCCACCCGATCGATATTTACTAAGGATAAAGAGGGTGGCTCTCCGATCGATATTTACTAATGAAAAAGAGGGTGGCTTACAGCCATACGAAACGACCAATCACTTGTGCAGTCAAATGGCCGCCATCTTTTACTAAGGATGAAGAAGGTGGCTGAGCAAAAATCGATAGGGATGCTGGTCGTAATTGAATCTTATACTACTGTCCATGTTCGCTTCTTGTTTGCCTCCCTTCATGCGATTCGTGACATCCTCTGATTCGTTATCTTTTCTCTACTCCTGGAATGCCTCACGGCGTTAGGACAGAAAGCGATCTCTGGAAGGGACTTTTCTGTTCGATTCGTATAAAGTACTTTTCAGTGTCTTGGATATTTCTGCGGTCAATACTTGAGTGGTCGACCTCTTAGTATGTTACTGCTGTATCTGTATAAGATTGCTCTCTGTGGTGCTCTATCTGATGCTAATCTTGTTACATGGCCAAACTATTTGATTTGTTGTCTACCTATAAAGTTCAGTATTGGTTCTGTGCCGACTTTTCTCCTGTTATCATCGTTTCTAAGTCGATCTTTCCTCATTACACACATTATAGTACGTAAAAATGTCATTTTTGTCGTGACTATTTTCCTTTAGTCATGTGAAGACAGTGTCCATGTTTGACATTGACAGCATATCGTTGGTAAGAATATTGTGTTGAACAGTGACATCCAGTTCACATGAATGCACCTCAATACCTGTATTATTTATAGGCTGCTTGCAAACATGTTTCAATCGTAGCAGGGGTCTACATAGATATTTTCTACCTATCTGTAATTCCCCACAAAGTATGTCCTTAGAGACTTCACCACCCTCCACCCTTCAGTGGAGGATCTCCATCATTCAGTTTCTATTATAAAATCTTGCCCCTGTTATAAAACCAGCTGCGACACCTTGAAAAATCGTTTCATTCATAATTTGAGAGTTCTCAGTCCTAGAGGGATGAATTTTCAACACCTTAAGGTTATTTATTTATTTAACTTGCTTATATTTCTCTCTCTTTTTTTTTTTCAAACACCTCCTTACTTATTTCGTCTCATAATATGGTCTTCATGACTATCCCCCCCCCCCGCCCCCTTTTTTCCCCTTTCCTGTTACCTATTTCTTGGTTTCATGTTGACCTTGGTTGTTAAGAAGCTGTATTAACTTGTCAATTGCGCTTTCCAGACACAGTTTGTGTGGTATACAGTGTTGTTCACCCACCACAAGTGAGGAAAACCACTCTTTTTATCATCCGTCATGAAACTATGGTTGAGTTTGACGAGTCCAGAGATGACTTGTAATCCCAGTTCGGACCCGGAAGGATCTAGGACAACGACGGCAGGGACAGTGTCTTTAAGTGAAAAGCCTTGTATTCGGGGTCTTACCTACGCTGCTCAGCTGCCTTTTTCCCCCTTGAAGCCTTGCATGTCTCTGCCCCTTTTTCGGATAGATGCTCGCCATGTAGTCTAGTCTTTTGCAGGAGCCTCCCACGTGTCACACACACACACACACACACACACACACACATATATATATATATATATATATATATATATATATATATATATATATATATACCTTGGTATTTAACATCTGTTGGTAAAGATTTTGGTAGTAATATTTGGTTGTATTTGTACTCTTATATATATATATATATATATATATATATATATATATATATATATATATATATATATATATATATATATATATATATATATATGTGTGCCTATTGGATCTGAAATATGCCTAGTGAGATTTTACATTTTTCTAAAACATCTGTTCTCAAAATTGTATAATTCGCATTGCTACGTATTTTTTAACTGCATTAGAGCCTCCAGACCAATCTAGCCCTAATTGACGGGTCTTAAATTATGTAACGAAAAGTACTAGGAAGTCTAGGTTTATCCGTCATCATATTGACCCAGGTCCCATTCGTCTATAATAATATGGGGTCTAGCATCATATCCCACAGTTCTGTGCAGTAGATATTCTCAATACGATGCAAGTCTTCGAAATGCCGCCCCTGAAAGCTTCGCGCTGTCAGGTCAAATGTTTAAACTGTATTTTGATTTAGCTGCTTATACCACCCCCTTCCCCCGCCTTACCATGCCGCCTGATGCAGCCGCTCTCTGTATCATAGCAAGGCGCGGCATTGATTCCCTCGATGCGTCAGTAATATGAGAGGTGCTCTTTGCTACTTACTTTACTAATATATGTGGTCCACATCATCAATATTGTTTTGCTGTGTCATTATGCGTTACATACAACTCTTTTCCACGCCTTTGAGCATACTAGGCAAACGGGGCTAGATCTTTTTTTTTATAGACCAGTTGGCACTAGGTACCTGGGTCAGGGCTGGGTCGACCTGGTAACCAAAGTCATTTCTGAAGGAAGACCGGCTCCGTCAGAGCCTGAACTCACGACCTTCCGATCCGTAGGAGAGCGTCTAACCGCTACACCACGGCAACTTCAATGTGTCACAGAAGACTCGCAGTCTATTCCTCCATTCCACTCAATACCAAAATCACGTCCATTCCTGCAAGTTTCTGTGGCGGAACAACTTTTACAGGGTAGGGATGCTTTCCTTACGCCCAATCCTCCTCTTCCTTTCTCACATGAGCTTTGATTGTCTTTCTCATAGATTGGTGGCACTCTAATTGTGGGGTGAAGAATGGGGTCAAAGGTTACAGAAAGAAACGAGTGATCAGTGGTCAAAGAAACATCGCTGGAGAGTGGCCCTGGCTGGTCTCTATGCACTTTTTACCGTGAGTAGTGAATGTTTGTCGTTCTAGTTGTGCAAACTCTTCTGACCTGTCTCTCTCTCTCTCTTTTTCTCCCTCTCTCTCTCTCTCTCTCTATCTATCTTTATCCCGCGCTCTCTCTCTCTCTCTTTCTCTCTCTCTTTCTCTATCTCTCTCTCTTTCTCTTTCTCTCTCTTTTTTCTCTCTCTCTCTTTATCTCTCTCTCTCCCCCCCCCTCTCTCTCTCTCACTCTCTCTCTCTCTCTCTCTCTCTCTCTCTCTCGCCCACACAGAAACACACATTCACACACCAACATATTTACAGAGTATAGACAGCAAAAGTACATGAATATTTCCACCTTATGTAAACAGAAGGAGTTCGTTATAAATTTGAAGTTAGTCATGTGACATGCGTGGACTTCCCGTGATTTGAATGTATAAAGGGAGACCCTGTAATATGTATTCCCTGCAGATTTACCTATGTGTTTGTGCTTTATTATAGTGACGTAACTCTGAAGCAATGCACCTGATCAGATACAGTAAACGAAAAGTGATAAATCATTTTTACACCAGTAACGCATGAGGCACATGACGACAGGCTCATATTTTAGTAGACGACTCGGCACTCGCGGGGGATTGAGCTCGGCATCAAACTGGCCGCCTTCAGTTGCTGTGACGTTACCTGGAACGATCTGGGAGTCAGTGTCAGGTTTGAAAAAGAAAAAAATTCGCCTCTTCGCAGATTTGAATGTAAGACCTTCAGTTCAGCGTCTGGCTACAACGCTCTTGAGGCTCCTGCAAGAATAAATTAACCCCCCCCCCCTTCCCCCCCACAAATGGTAGTATTGGAAGGCAGTAAAACTACAAAATTGTATTCGGAATGGCCAAAAAAGGTGTGGGGAGTTGTTTAGGACTCAAAAAGTTAGTCACAAAAGTTGTTAAATATACAGTCATTTTAGGTTGTTGGTTTTTAAAAAAAAAATTTTAATTACATGCTGTTCATCATTTCTGTTATAAACAGGATAGAAAGTAAAATTATTTACATTAATCAATTAAGTTTATTAATTTGGTTTCTTTAAAAAAAATTAAATTACATTAAATCTTTTACGTGACTTAGTGCAGCAAAGCCTGGCCTATTGTATCACAACTTTGAGTTTGAGAATGGAGGTTGAGGCAGCCCCTGCTGCCTTCTGCTAGCTTGAGAATCAGCTGTAAATACATGTCGTAATTGTAACTGACTGGCAGAGCATGTAAAGAAATGTGGAGCCAGATATGCTCCGTGCAGATTGGCAAGCATCGCTTTAGAGGTCTCGAGTAGTTAGCGCCCTTTGGATGTTTTCCCCATGTTCTACGGGTGTGTTGGGATACGAGCAGGCAAATAGACTGGCCGGTTCTACACCAGTTAGTTGTGTATTGATGTATGACAAACTAGATGTTGAGAGAGCCCTTTGAGGTCGAGTAAACAGTGCGAACAGGCCTACAACAGCTTCCTGAACTGCTCAGTCGTTGCCCCCAGGACGTTTGTGTATGATCAAACTGTTCGGAATACACTGCATAACGTTTCGGAACGACGACCTCATAGAGGACATGTACTTACGCGCAGCCATCGCCAAAATTGACTTCTTTGGGTCAGTCAGCATTATCCCCTGGGAGGTGACAATCAATGAAGATTGTGCATGGTTTAGTGAGGAATCGTTCTTTATATTGCAGCGTCATTATAGACGACGTAGAGTTTACCATAGGCGGAATGAACGTTTAGCCTTCTGTTGTAATGATGAATGTTCTCTTTAGGGTGGTGGAGGTGCAGTGGTAAGCGACATAATCAGTTACCACGGAAGAAAATTACACAGCGTTTAAATGTAAAAAATTATGAATATGTATGTTCCTTTCAATAGTTATGCATTTTATATTTGTGTGTCTGTGTGTGGAATAGTATTATAGTATAGTTTGTTGATGGTGCTATGATGTCTCTACTATACTTAAGTGATGAACAACTGTTATAAATGATTTCAGACCGACTAACTTCACCAACCAGTCAGGTTTCAAGCATTTGTGTGGAGGCAGCCTAATAGCTCCTGGCTGGGTACTGACGGCTGCCCACTGTTTCTCGTGAGTGACATACACAACAGCTCACCAGGGTATAATGTTATTATTCGTTGGTCGAGATTTTGGCTTCACTGCGTCCAATAGGTCACCCAATCATTCCTGTGAATAAATATTTTCTGGTACGACCTGAAAGTCAAGGTCAATTTTGCGAAGAACAATCTGCCTTGTCAGGAGGTGAGCATCTGACGTCATCAAGACGGCCCGTCAGTTGGAGCCGGTCGTGGCTGAGACAAGACAGTGTCCCATAAAATGACTGCACAGTGGCTTCATACGTGCTAAATACCGACCTGAGTTAGATATAATACAGCTCAATTAACTGCGTATCCTTCACAGGGACGATGCAGAACCGACCCCAGCGTGGTTTTTTTTTTTTTTTTTTTTTGTATGTGTGGTTTTTCTAGGCAAATGTTACGGTCATTAGTTTGACTTTGCTACTTAACGGTCAGTTCTCGGTACCACTGTCGAAACCAGCGCAAGCCAAACCGTCAGCAGCTGGGATCGAACTCGCCACACCGGCATTACGGACGCCTAAGTCACGGGCGTCGACAAGTAGTACAGCAAATGTCAAATTTCCAGGACGTTTTGTGTATTGGGCGTATGATGGCAGTCTCATATTTTAAAGACGAAACGGTGGGTGCTGTAATTAATATCGCTGTTAAACTTTGATTCCCGTGACATTTCTTGTGTTGTGTGGAGATTTTCGCGTGTGACCAAAACACACACACGCATACAGAGAGAGAGAGAGAGAGAGAGAGAGAGAGAGAGAGAGAGAGATATTGAAAGAGAGAGTGAGAGAGAGAGAGAAAGAGAGAGAGAGAGAGAGAGAGAGAGAGAGAGAGAGAGAGAGAGAGAGATATAAAGATAGAGAGAGATACAGTCGTGTGGAATGAGACCTGGTATAATGAACTTGATCCTTTTGCACCTAAATAATTTAAAGCAGAGAGACAGAGAAACAGACAGACACATAGAAAGTCATTCAGACGTACTGACCGATGGGCAGGTTGGCAGTTAAGGAGCTTGGTAAGTATATAGACTGACAGACACGATGTACGAAGGAAGGGACAGACAATCTGACAGGCAGATAGTCAGACAAGTCGATGGATGGATGGACGGACGGACAGAGAGACAGTAAAATCATTATCTCATGAATTATGTTTTTTTATCCCCATTTAGAGACGCAGCAGAAGATGGATTAAGCAACGTGTCAAATTGGCGGGTGTACTTTGGATTACACGATCTAGCAATGGAAGATAATCAGTACTACGTGCAGGAGCGTCTCATTGAAGAGTTCTACACCTACCCAGAATTCGACCGTTAGTGAACATTTTCTCTTGTTCCCGCTCTTGCCAGTGTATTCTTTATTTCTTTGCAACATGCTCTTTGTCAATACCTAACCCGTCCCTTCGTGGAAACTAATTTTTGGTTGAATACTAATTACCCTTACACACCCAGAGGCGCACACACTGACAAACACAATATAACCAGGCATACACACAGTCACATATAGAACACATACACACAGGCGCAACACGTACACATAGGAATAGTCATAGGAAGTATAGGCAGCCAGCTTGATGTTGACATCACGCACTGATGAACTGATACATGACAAGGCAGGTGTGGTCAAGGCCCTTTGGGAACAAGCAAGGAAATCAATAGAGAAAGAAGATTATAATGGCATGGAGAGAATGAGGCACCTGGGTGTCCACAGAAGGTTTGGCCGGCTCACTATACTCAGAGGAAATGCGAGACGGACATATAACCAGATTATGACCGGTACCACCAGTGTTGGAACTGCGCTGACTGCTGAAGATGAGGACGGAGCATGCATGGGATGCCCTGGGTGCTGTGATGTCGTCAATTCTTGACTCAACTCAACTCAACAATCACCCAATGAGAGCCGATTGGTCTACACAATTTCAGTGTAGATCTGCATGTCAATAGGCCTGAAGGTGTGGGGAAAATGGTCCTTACTTTACCTTGTTTATAGTATTGTATTTGCCGTTCAGGATCGTATTATTATTTTTTTTAATCATTATCATCGGTATTATTTACTATTATGCTCACGCACCTAAACAAAATTCAGGGCCTCTGAGGCTGTGAACCTACGATGACATATGTAAGGGGGAAAGCACCTCCGTTTAACCTTCCCCCCTCCCCATCCCACCCCCCCCCCCCGCCAAACCAACCATCGAGCCACCTCCGTCTTTTTTGTCTCTTAACTGTATTATAACTTGTAACTATAATATATAACTGGTTGCTTTATTCACTTACGTAATAGTTCTCCTGTTCACTGTCCTCAGTTATAAAAGAACCTCTCGTCTATGACGTTGCCCTAGTAAAACTCAACGAGTCCGTGGTGTACAGCAGCAGAGTGTCTCCGCTGTGTCTGGACGACACTGACAAACACTACGAGGAGACTCCCTGCTTCGTCAGTGGCTGGGGGCAGCTATCGCACGGTCAGTCATGTCTTCTTTGTTACTCGTCAGTGGCTGGGGGCAGATGTCTCACGGTCAGTCATGTCTTCTTTGTTACTCGTCAGTGGCTGGGGGCAGATGTCTCACGGTCAGTCATGTCTTCTTTGTTACTCGTCAGTGGCTGGGGGCAGATGTCTCACGGTCAGTCCTGTCTTCTATGTTACTCGTCAGTGGCTGGGGGCAGCTGTCTCACGGTCAGTCATGTCTTCTTTGTTACTCGTCAGTGGCTGGGGGCAGATGTCTCACGGTCAGTCATGTCTTCTTTGTTACTCGTCAGTGGCTGGGGGCAGATGTCTCACGGTCAGTCATGTCTTCTTTGTTACTCGTCAGTGGCAGGGGGCAGCTATCTCATGGTCAGTCCTGTCTTCTTTGTTACTCGTCAGTGGCTGGGGGCAGATGTCTCACGGTCAGTCCTGTCTTCTATGTTACTCGTCAGTGGCTGGGGGCAGCTGTCTCACGGTCAGTCCTGTCTTCCTTGTTACTCGTCAGTGGCTGGGGGCAGCTGTCTCACGGTCAGTCCTGTCTTCTTTGTTACTCTTCATGTTAAACAGTATATCTAAAGGATCATAGGCTTTGTATGCAGAACAAAATTGAGAAACAAAGTAGGTGATGTCATTAAAAAACATCTGCTAAAAAGTCATTACATTGATTCAAAAGTTACTGCTATGGTCTAATGCTGTTTTGATGAGGCTGAAAAAAATTTATGTAACAAATATCCAACCACATTGTGATGAGAAAGTTTATCAGTCAATCTTGGCATAAATCTTTGAACGACAATCTATGTGTGTATCAACCGCTTTTACGAAACACTTTTGAGCTTACAAGAAAAAAAAAAAACACATGTAGTAAGACTTTACAGACTGTATAATAAACAATAGAATGATAATAAAAAAAAATCGGTTCTGTTTCTTGCAGACACATCGTGCTGAAGAGTATTTTATGCAATCTTTCTTTGTCAATTAAAACGAGTAAGAGAATTCTTAAAAGCTATATAACTCCTATATTGATATACGGATGTGAATCATGGAAGTTAGTATACTATTTGAAACTTATTTGAAAGCTGCGGGGGTGTGGTTTTATAGACGAATGATGAGAATACCCTTGACAGATAAAAAGGTTAATGAAGACTTTTTTTTAAAGAAACTGACTCGCGAAGAGAACTAATTGCCCACGTCAGAAAGAGACAATCTACATTATTTGGTCATGTGATGAGAAGAAGAAAACTATAGTACATTGTGACGGTAGGAAAGTTGGAGGGGAGGAGAGGCAGAGGTAGAACGAGATAAAAGATGCTGGACAGTTTGACATCATGGTATGGAAGATCATTTGTGTCAGAGTTGATTAAAATAACAAGAGACAGAAAGTTGTGGATAGACTTGACTACCAACGCCCCACGGCAGGAACTTTAAAAAGAAGAAGAAAAAAACAAACAGGCATGTAGTGATCAGCAGAACAGAAAATTAGTAACATGGAAATCAGATGTCTGAAAACTGGTGCAGATGTTTCCAGCAGAAATTAAATCAGGAATGAGGTCATATGAGAAAAGTCGACACTTAGAAATGCATTGTGGCGTACTATTTAAGGCATAGCTATTCAGTATAGGCCCGCGGAGACCTACCAAGTGGCTCGCGGATCATTGTCAAATGTATTGTATTCTTCTTCTTCTTCTTCTTCTTCTTCTTCTTCTTCTTCTTCTTCTTCTTCTTCTTCTTCTTCTTCTTCTTCTTCTTCTTCTTCTTCTTCTTTTTCTTCTTCTTCTTCTTCTTCTTTTTCTATCCTTCTGTCAGAAAACTTATATCAGGAGGCCGGTAGCTATATGGAAGCTATCGTGCAGTCCATATCCCCTCGTGTACCATACAGCTTTGTCTTCATTGTGATTGGAACAGGCCAGACTGTGTTTCTGTTATCAGCATGCAGTTGACAGTGTTGGAGCCAGGGACGTCTCCGTGTTTCCTACACCGAACAATTTGAACATATGTTGACGAAGTCTGTTGTGCCCAGTCCTTAGCCTGAATATAAACAATGTCCCTCTTTAGAGAGGCGATGAAGCGAGCCTTTGGGAGAAAATCTGGTGTGTGTATCCAACCACCTTTCTTGGATACTAGATTGTATTAATGTTTTCGTCTCTTTGTGGGTTGTCATTATTTGGTTGTCACTGCCGCTTCTGGCCGATCTGTCAGCTGTTTCATTGCCTTCCAGGCCACAGTGCCCTGGAATCTACTGCAGTACAGATTGTTCTACTAAAGAGCTTACGCGAATCAGCAGTGTGAATGACAGTGTGTTACATTAATGATGTCTGTAACTTCTGGTCTGATGTTGCACAAAGCACAAGGTGATAACTCCTCCACATCAAGCTGGCAGTGCTGTTGTATATATCAACAATGAACAAATGGCAAAAGGCAAATAATAATATATCTGTGTTCTCCTTATCTAAAACCAGTCCTGATATGTTTGACAGTAAAAAGAAAAGAAATACATGTATTGCTTGAAAAGGCATACAGTATACTGTGCTCAAGTATATTCACCTATATAACCATATTTCTCTGGTATACTTAGATCAAACTGCCAATAACTGCCTTTATCAGACTACGGTTAGGTTGGCGTTAGTCTCCCCAAAGGTCACTTTTCATTCACAAGTTTGTTGGACTGGTCAACTTTTCTGTATGTTACGGATGTGCCTCGCTCTGTTGTTTGGTTTCTGTTATGTCTTGCATTTACATTTTCATTCCGAGAAAAAGAATGCCCGTGACACAGGTTGCAGTACTCTCTAGGGGAGTTGTGCTAGAGCCAGTTTCTTCATGTTATTGGAGTGTTGAAAGCGCTGGCGTGCTGAAATATACAACATGCGATATCAGCGGCATTACGGAACACCTTAACCTTGTGCGAAGGTTACGGGGCACAGGGTCTACCAATCAGAAGGAAGCTAGTGTGTATATGGACGGGGTTTGGGAAAACTAACATTACCTTTACCAATACCTCTGTTGCGGTGCAGGAAGAGGCTGTCTTTGAGCCGCGTAGTTAGTTCTTTCGCCACGACTATGCAGGTGAGGATTTTATTTAGCCCCGACAGAAAAAAAAAAAAATCCCCAGCGTTACCGAGGATTCGAACCCGGATCTCCCGCTTGAGAGCTTAGCGTTCTAACCGTTCGACCAGCCATTCATCATACTAGACCAAACGTAACATATAAAACAACACACATTGCTTTCGCTGATACCCATTAGCAATAACTGATCTCTGTTAAGTGGCTTGCAGTGTCAAAACGAGTTAATTAATGTATCCGACAGATTCACCCGGTACTCGCTTTCCTTACACGGCGTCAGTCTCCACAATGAGTCCCGCTGGGTGCAAGAACAAGTACGACATCCTGCCCGAGGATCACCCGATGAAACCCTACATCCGCATGACCCCTTCTGTGTTGTGTGCCAGCGTGGGCACCAGCGGCGAGGACGCGTGTCAGGTTAGTTAATGGTCATCACCAGAAGGTCCGCCCACGACCAGCTGTCAGCTAGAGCAGGTCATGGTCTGACCAATTGTTTGCCCCAGCTCCCACCCCCTCCTCCCCCAACATTTTTTTAAACTATCTCCTTCCCTCAAGGATGCTGAGATTTCAGGGCTCAGGCAACCACCACCCCCCCCCCCCCCTCATTTTTTAAGGTTATATGCTGTTTGAACTCCCTAAACAAAACAACAAAAAAACAAAAAACAAAAAAGTTTGCTGGGGGGGGGGGGGGGGGGGCGCAAATTCGTTCCCCCTAAACTCGTATAGACATTCTATTTTAGGTATTTGTTTCCTTCTTCTTCTTCTTCGCATTCACCAGCTGTACACTCTGGCGTAAAGTTCTGGTTGTTCGTCCACTTCTGGACTGCAGTCCTGCTCCAGAACCTGAGTGTTGCGTGTGCATCAGTTTTACAGATATGATTCAATTGAATGCAGACTGCTGGTTCCTTGCCCCCAGGCAGATGCACTTCAACTTCAAAGGAAGCTCCCCAGTTAGTCGACTCTTACGACATGCTTTTGGGGAGGCAGTGGGTCTATTCTTGTTTTCCATGTTATTTCAAATTTATAGTTTTAAATAATCATTTTCCACACAATAATTATTATTATTTTGTAAATTATTATTGCACACTTAAAGAAGACAGACGCCCTGAGCCTCTTCTCCTCGCTTTTCGAAAATTATAAGATGGCCGGAACCAACCCCCCCCCCCCCCTTTTTGTTGTTGTTTCGATGCCACTAGTCCCCTGCATATCAACTCATTTAGCACCATCCAGCTCCATGCTGTGATGGTTATTATCTAGCCATACTTCTTTTTTCTTATGCGCCTCTTTCAGCTGATAATCTGTGCAGTCCCACTTTGATTATTTGAGTTAAGTCAAGAATTGACATCACAGCACTCGGTGCATTCCCATACGCGCTTCGTCCCCATCTTTAGTCGCCAGCGCAGAGTTCCAATGCTAATCTTACCGGTCGTCCTCTGGTTATATTCCCATCTTGCCTTTCCTCTAAGTGCAGTGAGCCGGCCAGACCCTCTGGCCCAGGCGCCTCATTTTCTCCAGGCCATAATAATCTAGTTTCATGCGATATCTCCAGGGTTTGTCGACGATAAACGATAGACATAAAGTCGCACAGGTCAAGACGTACATGAGGGTATAGGCAGACGTTAAGCGCCCCCCCCCCACTCATTGAGTGGCTGCTGCAGCGGAGGACAGAGCACACATAGCAATGCCCAATGTGCAGTGACGTCGATCGTGATAACATAAAAGGACTTTGACCACATCTGCCTTGTCGCGTATGAGTTTCCCGCCCAGTGGTGCAGATTCAGCCAGATACTTTTGCCTGTTCATTACCCGCAACGCCGGCATAGCCTTGAGAAAAGACCCAAAGTATGCTCACTATCTGTGACCTTCCAAGTGAAGCTTGCCACTCTGTTCGAAGCAACCCTGTCTTCGCCTTTCTCAGCATGTTTTCAGAGTCTGTTTCAGTTGCGACATGTGAACGCATCTTGTTCTCTAGCCACCGGCAAGCTGCCGCCACCACCTCCATTCTCATGCTAGATCTTGTATAATATGCCAGGCTGTCCTGCACTAAAAATTTTCCATTGGATTTCGCTACGAACCCCCAGGCACCTCTCTCCCCTCCCAACATAGAACCATCTGTATAGATAATCAGATCACATGGGCGAGAATTGTTGTGAATCAACTGTTGGAACTTCCAACTCCGTAGTCCCCGCTAGCCACTCTCTGCACTCCCAGTCTAATGTGATCCTGACCCTACACAGACCAGACTTTTCCTCTGGTACTCTGCCCAGCACAGTGCATATTGTGTCTTCTGTTTGAGCCATCCATGGTTTTCTCCCTTTCAGTCTCTGACCCTTCACTGTATCTAAAGCTTCATACAGAGGGTGCTCTTTATCTGCAGCTACTCTGAGGTATGACTTAGTCTGCAGCACCTTTAACCTACATGCAGTAGTCGGCAATGCAAGGATGTATCGCATGCACACAACCGAGGTGTCTCACAGGATTATGCGCATAACTTCCTTCTGTATGCGCTCCAGTTGAACTAGCTGACTCTTCGAGACAGTGAGCAACCCCAGTTGATAATCAGTAAATGGGATGATTAAGTGTTGGTATAGTGTGAACAGCATTCTTATCAATCAAAGAGATGTTTAAGTGCTGGTAAAGTGTGAACAGCATTCTCTGCCCCATGTCTATTGCTCTGATGATTACTTTCACTCCTGCAGTTTATTGGTGTTATTCAACTCTTTGACGCCAACACGATAACGTTACCTGGGAGTAAAGCATGGTGAAGCACTTCTATGCTGCCTCCGAGGCCGAGATAAGAGACATTATAACCAAATGCTCATGAGAATAATTAATAGAGGTACCTTGGAGTGTCTGCTGCATCGAAAGACTGAGCATGCAGGGGAATTCCCACAATGCAATGACGCTAAATGTGAAAACATAATGGTGTTTTTACTTAATCTTCTTCAGACAAATGTGTTTTTAGTTACAGAAGTAACATCTTTGTACAGAATTACTGAAGGTAACACCTGCTAAAACTAAGAGTTTCATCCTGGATGACAAACCAAAAATGCAACTCCCTGATACCCTTTTCAACCTCCAAGGAAATTATCACCAGTAATGATAATACTTCCTCATCAAGCCCTTATATGGACACCGGAAGGGAAAATAAAACAAGGAAGACCAAGAGAGACCCTACGTAGAATCATCTTTGGGGAAGGCTCAACCATGGGCTTAATGAATATCCAAGACCTAAAACAGGTGACAACAAACGGCGAGACATGGATAGCTAAGACCTCTGCCCTATGCGCCACCCTAGGCTCAAGAGGAAGGAAGGACTAACTAACTAACTAACTAACTAACTAACTAACTAACTAACTAACTAACTAACTAACTAACTAACTAACTAACTAACTAACTAACTAACTAACTAACTAACTAACTAACTAACTAGCTAACTAACTAACTAACTAGCTAACTAACTAACTAACTAGTGATTATGCCAAATGGTTCACCTTGCAGTTCAGCACAAGAGTTCCTGTGCATCATAAGGTAAGGCGATTGTTTCTCTTTAGTACTCCATTCTGCAGGCAAACATTTTGAGAATAAGAATTAAACAGGTACTTTTTCTTGTTCTTCACGTTCATCAGCTCTAAAAAGCGGCTGCAAATTCTGGGTACTAGTTTCTTCTGGACTTTGACTGACGTTCAACTCTATCAGGACCTCACAAGTGATAAACACCAGATGACACAGAGTGCCATCATTTGGATGAGAATCACCCAGGTGCAAGTCCAAGAAACACTGTTCAACTCTAGGTTATATTTAGGGACCCTGATGACAGCCAGGGTAGGGCTCTTAAAAAAAAAAAAAACATGGGTCCCACTGTGGGACATGGATCTGTCGTCTTCTGGACTTTAGTCTTGTTACAGAACTTAAATATAGTGCGCACATCTGTTTTACAGACTTTGGGTTGTCCCTCAACTATCAAATGAGAATGTGTCAGGCTTCAATAAGCCTAGAGTTGTTACCGCCATGATCTAATATGACTAAAGTCAATGTTTTTCTCATTTAGTCAAATATAAGTGTAACAGACTACAGTCAGTGTTTTCCTCACTTAATCAGATGTAAATGTAACAGACTAAAGTCAGTGTTTTTCTCACTTAATCAGATGTAAATGTAACAGACTAAAGTCAGTGTTTTCCTCACTTAATCAGATGTAAATGTAACAGACTACAGTCAGTGTTTTTCTCACTTAATCAGATGTAAATGTAACAGACTAAAGTCAGTGTTTTCCTCACTTAATCAAATGTAAGTGTAACAGACTAAAGTCAGTGTTTTCCTCACTTAATCAAATGTAAATGTAACAGACTACAGTCAGATTTTTTCTCACTTGATAAAACGTAAATGTAACAAACTAAAGTCAGTGTTTTTCTCACATAATCAAATGTAAGTGTATCAAACTAAAGTCAATATTTTTTTTTCACTTGATCAAAAGGTAAGTGAAACAGACTAAAGTCAATGTTTTTCTCACATAATCAAATGTAAGTGTATCAAACTAAAGTCAATGTTTTTCCCACATAATCAAATGTAAGTGTAACAAACTAAAGTCAATGTTTTTCTCACATAATCAAATGTAAGTGTAACAGACTAAAGTCAATGTTTTTCTCATTTAATCAAAACGTAAGTAAAACAGACTGAAGTCAGTGTTATTTTATCTCAAACAGGGAGATTCTGGAGGACCGCTGATGTGCCAACATTACGGACGCTGGTACCAAGCTGGAGTTGTCGCCGCTGGCTACTTGTGTGGACAAGAAGCCACGCCTGGACTGTACAGCAGAGTTTCCTACTATATGGACTGGATCAGGCAGACAATGGCAGACAATGAAAGCCCCTGAATCCATGGGGCTGATGTTGTTGCTGTACTGTGCTGTTATCATGTTTTTAGCATGCTACAGCACTGTCCGAAAATGGCATCCTTTTCTTTTTCAACTCTTTCAGTTGTGTAACATATCCTTGATCATTATCAGGTCCTTCATAGGAAGTCTCTCTTTCTGTAGCCAAATCTTCAGCTCCATGTGCTTTCATTCCTACAAAAAACAGCTCTCACTTGTGCACCAGAGGGAAAGAGAAAGAAGGGGCACCCAAAAACAACATGGAGATGAATGATGGAAAGTGAACTGAGTGCTGCATCTCTGACATGGCAAACTGCACTGAAGATTACACAAGACATGAAGGCATGGAAAGTCCTCTCTGATGCCCCATACGCCACCAGGCATAAAGAGAACTGAATGGGCTTTTAAAGCCAGTGCATCTTTAATGTCTTGGATCAAAGTCCGCAGAGGTGTGTCTCTGCTTCGTTTTCTTGAAACTGCCTTCCATCACTGCTCTCTCTAAACCACCCTGATGTTTAACTTAGCCAAAATACCTCAGCTGTTAGGACAGGATGCTGTTAATAGGCCGGTTCTTCTCAATACTCAGATTGTGTAGGATGTAGGGTGTTAGTGTTCCCTCCCGTCACAGTTCTGGGTCCTTCCGGGCGCATCATGGATCCTTCCAGGCGCATTCTGGGCTTATTGGTCACCTCCAGACTCGCAAAACTCAACTATAATTTTATGACGGATAAAAGAAAAAGTGACCCTCATCACTTGCGATGGACAAACAAAATGCGTGATATAAAGTGCAATTTGTGGGTGGAAAATTATGTATTTCTGTAGCACACCTCAAATCACATATTATGTATGTATATTATGAATACAGTTGAGTGCAGCTCAGGGGATTGGAGGTTTCAAAATCCCAATTCATTATGGTGAACCTCCATTATGCAGACAGCCTAAAAACAAATTGTTTATTTTCTGTACATGTTCCAGACTAATACTATTCTTATTCTTCACTTCCTCTTTTACTGCTTTGGCTGTTGTGGGAGATATAGGATTCTGTTCTTGCTTTTCTGACTGCCTCGACCGTCTTGTAGAGTTTCTCTGATGTTAGTTTACCAACTTGTTCTTGGTCTACCTTGTGCTTTATGCCCCTTTCCTCTTTTGTATGGTATGGCCTTATCAGACATTCTCTTGAAGTGCTGTCTTTATATGTAATTCAGAATTGATTCTGTGATGATTTTTTTCTTAAATGACCTTGTTCCTGATTTGATCTCTTCTGTAGCCTTTCTCAGACATCTCATTCCATAGTTAAAAAATTGTCTTTTCTGGTTTCTTGTGAGTGATAATATCTGGCACTGATAGCACAGGGTTGGAATGCATAAGCTTTGTACAAAATGTTTCTTCGTGCTGAGTGGGATAGTCTTGTGTTGTAAGAGGAGAACATGCTGTTTCAATATTTGGTTTGTTTTACAGCATCAGATGTTAATTTCTTCATCAAATTTATTACCTTAGGTTGATACTGTTCCCAGATATTTAAACTCAGATGCCTGTTTAATATGATGAAGTTGGCTTCAGTTGTATATTTCTTTTATTGCAACATTTTCCCCCTCCCCAAATAGAATCCTGCTGGCCATCTTCACTTCTCAAAACCAAACAGGCCGGTCGCCTTAGCTGCCAAGGTAATTTTCTTGTATCAATTTAAGCTGGGTGGACCTGACAGCCCAAATCAATTATTTTAAAAAATCTGCCTTGATGACAGTTAGTAATGATGAACATGTACTTTTCTACCTTTAAAATAGAGGGAAGGCTAACTCAGGCAACAAATGCCAGAAGAAGTAGGATGTATCTGCCAAAAGTTGCAAATATTATAGCCAGTCCTTAACTCTTTGAGTCCCAGAGGGTTTAGCATCACAGGCAAAAGGGGTAGCCAAGAGACGTAAAATCGGCGCATTATGCGTTCATTGGGCTTCTAGGCAGTAACGTATGAACGTATCAAGTGTTCCTTGGGACTCAAAGAGTTAAACGGGCACCATGAAATGATGTCCTTGGATGCATATAAAAGAAGAAATCCTATACTGAACAGCTTTCAAATGATAAATCTTCCAAATTTTTAATGATTTTGGAAAGATTTATGTGTGAATAATACTACAAATGATACAACCATAATGTACTGATTACATTAACAGATAATCTAAAGTAAAACAATTACTACAGAATTTTGGATAGAACTAAATGGACCTTGGGCTGCAGCGAGTCCCAGCTGGATTTGAAAGCGAGCTTCTTATCGACTGCGCTAACGCATCCCCCAACTGAATGGAGGAATAGACAAAGCCTTATGTGACATATAAAGGCCCAACAGGACAAAGAGCAGAAATTGATTCTAATCAATGATACGGGCTTGTTTGCGTGCATCCACTCAAAGTGAAGTTAGTATCAATCCACTCTGACACCTACTGAGGGAGATGAAGCACTTCGGGGTGTAGTTCAAGTGTCACTTCTGCTACCTAATAAAAACTACTTAGTTGAAATGTGTGGCCTTTTGTTATCTTTACATGAATCACTTAGTTATCTTTCCCGGATTAAGAACCTCTGCAGTATTGTAATAAATGTTACAAGAACTTCAGGAAAATTAAACCAAAATTTTTCCTTTAAATACACACACAAAAACAGTAAAACTTCTGAACAAATACTGTCAGACATACATTACCGCCTTCCTGTTAAAAATAAAACACAAATTTTTCATAATGTTGTATGTTTATTCTTCATAAAAGAAAATGTTTCAACTGTTTGCAGAATTTCAAAGAGGTACAGTATTTACTGAAAGTAATTTAGTAATTTGTACCCCAAAGTGATAAACACTCGGTGACACAAAGTGCCACCATGCTGATGAGGATCAACCGTAGAGAGGTCCCGGAAATCCCGTTCAGTCATTAGACCATATTTAAGGCCCGGCTATATTTAGAGCCTCCAGCAAAAGCCAGGTTGGGGCTTTAAAATAAATAAAAATTTGATCCCACATGGAGATGGCTAAGATTGGCACAAAAATCAACAGTATTAAACTCATGACCGAACATTTGATTATCATGAAACAAATACCCAATTCTTAATTACTGATGCTTTTATTGTGATTTTTATAAATTTATGTTAACATATAATTGTTATCATTAAGAACTTCCAGTAAAATCTACATCTAAAGCAATAACTAATTTTGCTAACATTAAGCTTAGTCAACAGACAACACTGAAAAACTATATATCAAAATACTATCCCTATATGCTGTATGCAATAATAACTTCAAAAAATGCAGCTTGTATACATATATATATGATATATATATAATTTTTTAAAAAATATCTAATATAAAATTTCAAAATGAAATTATTGTGCAGTTTCAAAGAAATCAAGTACATTATTTACCAAGTAAAACTATTCAATTTTAATAGATATTCTGAGGAATGACACTTTACCAAAGAACACATATTTTATGTAAAAAAGTAAGGGACCCTTTTTCACACCTTTAGGCATATTGGGCATATAGTATTTTATAGACCAGTTGGCACATGCTGGATGACACAGTCAGCAGCAGTCAGATGCCTTTACTTCCCAGGACTCCATCTGGTACCCCTTCAAGGTTGGGTTGACTGTGGAACTGTCATTTCTGAAAGAAAAAAATCTGGCTCCATCAGGACCGGAACCTACAAACTTCTGATCTGCAGGTGAGCTCCTAGATACTACACTATGACAACTCTCACACTGTATTTAGGAAATATTATTTTATATTTGAATATAAAAATATCAGTATATTTATTGTCAGCATTAGAAGCTCTTGGTTTATCAGAAAATATAAAAGTTGCACTGTATAAGAAAGTCTGATATCTTGAAGCAATCATTATCTTTCCTTGTTCATAATTTATACATACAGTCTGCACACACACAAAAACTCTCAGTCCTTTACATTTCCTTAACTTAGTGACTGCTGACTGGGATCAGATGGACAGTGCAATGGAACAGACACCATTTCCAGACCTCAAAGGACTGATTCAGTGGGGAGTGAGCAGAGGGTTGAGCAAAGAGTTTAAATAGTTTTCTTCTTCTTCAAAATGCAGGGAAAAGACCTCATCATCATTGTCCTGCTCTCACAGTCTGTTCCTCCACTGAGCGTTGTCCTGTGAAATATCTTCAATTTCATGGATGGAATCCAGTCCAGCGACTTTAGCCCCTCTCATCAACGTTCAATTTAGGGTTTCTTTTGGGTGTTCTTGCTTCCCCAATCCCTTTATTTCGCATTTTAGTGCCTGTTTGGTTATACTCTGCTTCTTTCTTATCCGCATCAATCAAATAAAGTGCCATCTTCTTTGTCTTTTTCTTGTTTGCATTCACTGGATGTAAACTCTGGCAGTTAAGTTCTGGGTCTTTTGTCCACTTCTGGACTTTAGTCTTGTTTCAGAACCTATAATTGTGACTGCCCAGACCTGTCTCTTCTTTCTTCAACTCCTGAATCCATCTTAATTTATGTGCTTTATTTTCCTTTGGCATTTTCAGGTGAAAAGACAGAATTTTCATCAGGCACTATCGTATGGACACTGGAAGGGAAAAGAAAACGGGGAAGACCAAGGAAGACTCTGTGTAGAACCATCATCAGGGTTGGCGCAACTATGGGTAAAATGAATATCCAAGACCTAAATCAGGTGGCAATGAACCACGAGAGCTATGACCTCTGCCCCATGCGCTGCCTTAGGCCTAAGAGGAAAGACTAACTATCAGTATGGCAACTCTTTACTGGCTACTGAGGAAGGGGACAGGGCATGTGTGGGAATTTCCAGAATGTAGCGATGTCAGTTCTTAATTCAATCATTTGTTTATACCAGTTTCTCTAATCCATGCATGTCTTATCATAATGTAGAATATGCCCCTCTTCAAACTGATAAAAATCCCTTTCTACACTTCTCTTCTGAACCACCTGATAATGATATAACTGTTAACAAAACACTTTATGAAAAAAAAGTATCAAAACAATCCAATCATGGTCTTTGTGTGGGTTCCGAGGCCCCAATTTTGAAACCTGCCCCAGTAAGCATGTACTAAATGGCAAGTCAGTAAGAATCTGCTGAAATCGGATGGGTTGGGTCAAAAAGTGCAGAAATGTCAGCCCAGCTGTAAACCGCAACACAGCAGAAGGAGGAGGAGAAGAAACAATCATGTTATCTGGCCATAAGAATTTCCTCTTGACAACATCCCGATGTGAACTCTATGAACCCATGGGGGGCAAGAGAGGGGTAGAGCAGACCCAATGCCATGTAATGAACATGTTGTAAAATGTGACTAATTATAAGTTTGATGAAGTCGGATGTGAGGGGCCACTTGGTACAGATATAACAGCCTAGCTTATATTGGTTCCTTGAGAGTTCTGGTGTTCTATGCCATGAACAGGCAGGCTTCAGAACCAACAGCTGCACAGAAGACCAGCTGTTCAGACTGACACAAAGAATACATGATGGCTTCCAGAATAAGAAACACACAGTAGCAGTCTTTGTCGACCTCCAGCAGGCCTATGACAGAGTATGGAGAAAAGGTCTCCTGATGAAGATGATGAGCATAGGAATACATGGCAGATTGTATAACTGGGTGAAATACTTCCTGATAGATAGAACAATCCAGACTAAGATGCACAACGCAATCTCTTCTAAAGAAGTCTTGGAGGAGGGCTTGCCACAAGGCTCATCATTGAGCTGTACACTATTCCTAATCTTTATCAATGACCTGCCAGAACAAATCAAGGCCGAAAAAGCCTTGTACGCTGATGACCTAGCAATATGGCAGAGTCATGAAAATGTGGAAAGTGGAGCCCAAAGACTGAATGGAGACCTTAGAAGACTGCATGAGTACTGCCAAAGATGGAAACTCAAGGTTAACTGTGCAAAGACAGTCTACACAATCTTTACCAAAAGCCACCAAGTAGCAAGGAAGAATATTAACCTGAGGTTAGACAAACACCAAGTGATGAAAGAAGAGCATCCCACATACCTTGGAGTCACACTTGACCGGCAGCTCAGCCTCAAGAACCATATTGAAAACATCAGGAATAAGGCATTGAGGCGGTTACAGTTATTAAAGAGACTTGCAGGTACATCATGGGGATCAGACAAGGAAACTCTGAGGGGCTTATATCTAGGATATGTTCGCTCTGTGATAGAGTACAACAACTCACTGCTTACAACTTGCTCCAAAACTAACCTAGAGACTCCTGACAGAGTACAAATTAATGCCCTCCGATTAATCTGCGGAGCTATGCAGTCTACACCAACTGCTGCATGTAAAATCCATACAAATGTGGAACCCCTCGGGTTGCGGAGAGAAAAAGCGACTTTAGAAATTTATGAAAGATGCATTAGGAAAAATCGTAACCATCCTAATAGACATCTTGTAGAAAACTGGGAATCCAAACAAAGAATAAAGCACAAATCGGTTTTATACTGTGTTAATGAAATTCAGGACAGATACCACCTCCCAGAAAGACGTCAAGGAATTCAGAATGTTGCAAGAAACCTACCACCACATGCTCGCTTTAAAGCTCCAGAAGTCGGAACTAAATTGGTAGGCGAGGAAACCAAACAGTCCGACCCAATCGCTCTTATGAACTCATCACTAAAGACCGTTGATTCTTACCCCCAAGAATGGATACATGTCTATACTGATGGATCAGCATTTAAAGCTACCATTAAAGCAGGTTACGGAATCTACATAGGTTATCCCGATGGATCTGTTGAAGAGATTTTTGATGCATGCGGGGAATTCTGTTCAAACTATGAAGCTGAAATAATTGCACTGGAAACAGCAGTATACCACCTAAAGACTGTAATGGATGTTTACCCTTCAAAGGTCCAAAATATTGTCATCTTTACAGATTCAATGTCTGCCCTTCAAGCTCTGGAGGGCAGTGAACGCTGCAGAACTGACATAGCCAAGATAATCCTGGATGCTGATCAGCTTATTACCTCATACAACATCAGAATAGTGATGCAGTGGATTCCAGGTCACTCCGGCACACCAGGTAATGACAGAGCTGACAGATTGGCAAAGAAAGGAGCAACACAAGAACAACCACCTACAGCACAACCCTCCAGACAGCAAAAACACTGATAAAAGCTATAAACAAAGAGACTTGGTTGAACAGATGGGCCATGGGAGACACTGGAAGAGAGGTGTATAGACATATGTCTGGCCCTAATCCTAATGACAGCATTAACCATCTAACAAGAAGGGACCAGGCCACCATCTTCAGACTTAGAACGCAACATACTCCACTCAATGGACACCTAAACAGAATACAGCCACAACACTCCCCAGAGTGCCAGCTATGTAACTACCCCTACGAAACTGTTGAACACCATCTCTTTGAGTGCCCAAAACTCAGTGAGACAAGAAGAACGCTACTCCCTCCGAGACCAGACAAGTGGAACACCTTGTACGGAGGAAAAGAACAGCTTGTGAAAACATGCAAATTCCATTATATGGCATTGAGCCAAAGGGCGAAAGCTCATGCGCCGCTGGATCGATAACAACAACAACAGCTTAGCTGTAAACCACAACATATCAACAGTGCTTTTAAAGGTGAATGCAGAAGAAGAAGATATAGAGAACACGTAATTAATACTGGAAGCAGGATTTTGTAGGTAATTAATGACAAAGTCAAGTAAAGTTATTACATCCTGGAACACATGCAAGCTTATAAAGTTGTAGCAAAGATACCGCAAAATATTCTTTTATAACAAACAAATAATCAACAATTATTTTTACACACCTACAATTTATTGTTAAAGCTTTAGAAGTAAATGAAATTTAAAAAAAAAAACTTTTATAAAAGATGTTTAATTACAACATTAATTACACAGTTAACAGTCAGTAATATTTAAGCATAAATAAAAGAAAAGGGACTGCTACTGAAGACACATTATTCTCCATAGCAACACCTGTTCCCATGTGCCTACTGTATGAATTTCTGTGGAACATCACAGGTTTTTCAATACTTTATCAAACCTCTCAGTGAACACGTCCACATGTTTTCTTTCTAGTGTCAGTGTCGGTCGGAGCCTCAGAGTCGAAGTCCCACAGGAACCCAGATGAACACCTGAATATATAAGAAAAAAATTAACAAATCTGTAAAATAATAATGAAATGTTTCAGATTATTCTTGTGATAGTAGAGTCTTAGGATGGATCTTTGGAAACATCAAAGATGCAGACAACAGTGAACTGAGAGTGATAAGCAAAAAAGAAATTCATAATCTGTTTACTGGTCTTTAATGGCAGCATGAGGGCAAATCTACTGCAATTGTTGGAGTAAGTAGAAAGAATGGCAAAAAACAGACAGTCAGAAACTGTGTACACAAAAGAGTTGAATGGAAGTAGACTAAGATTATGAAGAGAGAATATACAGACCGAGCTTCTAACCCTTAGAGTCACCAAATGGAAAGAGAAGATCAGACACAGAGATGAATGGAGATGTGTATTATCGGCAGCAATGAACCTCAAGAACTCAGAATGCTGAAGAAGAAGAAGAAAAAGAAAAAGAAGAAGAAGAAATGTTACATCCCTATTCCATATCTCAGTTAATTAATATCACTATCTGTTAACATTTATTAACACATGTTCTCTACAATACTGCCCAGTCCTTTGCACTAAGGGCTGGAGGAATAACTAAGGTCCTGAAATTGTATGCACTTGCTGTGGAAGGTTTCTCTTAACATGAGCTGGTCTTGCTAGTCACACTCATCATTGCCACAAGCTAAGTCACACTCGTCATTGCCACAAGCTAAGTCTCACTCGTCATTGCCACAAGCTAAGTCTCACTCGTCATTGCCACAAGCTAAGTCTCACTCGTCATTGCCACAAGCTAAGTCTCACTCGTCATTGCCACAAGCTAAGTCTCACTCGTCATTGCCACAAACTAAGTCTCACTCGTCATTGCCACAAGCTAAGTCTCACTCGTCATTGCCACAAACTAAGTCTCACTCGTCATTGCCACAAGCTAAGTCTCACTCGTCATTGCCACAAGCTAAGTCACACTTGTCATTGCCACAAGCTAAGTCTCACTCGTCATTGCCACAAGCTAAGTCTCACTCGTCATTGCCACAAGCTAAGTCTCACTCGTCATTGCCACAAGCTAAGTTTCACTCGTCATTGCCACAAGCTAAGTCTCACTCGTCATTGCCACAAGCTAAGTCTCACTCGTCATTGCCACAAGCTAAGTCTCACTCGTCATTGCCACAAGCTAAGTTTCACTCGTCATTGCCACAAGCTAAGTCACACTTGTCATTGCCACAAGCTAAGTCACACTTGTCATTGCCACAAGCTAAGTCACACTCGTCATTGCCACAAGCTAAGTCTCACTCGTCATTGCCACAAGCTAAGTCACACTCGTCATTGCCACAAGCTAAGTTTCACTCGTCATTGCCACAAGCTAAGTCACACTTGTCATTGCCACAAGCTAAGTCACACTTGTCATTGCCACAAGCTAAGTCACACTCGTCATTGCCACAAGCTAAGTCTCACTCGTCATTGCCACAAGCTAAGTTTCACTCGTCATTGCCACAAGCTAAGTCACACTTGTCATTGCCACAAGCTAAGTCACACTTGTCATTGCCACAAGCTAAGTCACACTCGTCATTGCCACAAGCTAAGTCTCACTCGTCATTGCCACAAGCTAAGTCACACTCGTCATTGCCACAAGCTAAGTTTCACTCGTCATTGCCACAAGCTAAGTCACACTTGTCATTGCCACAAGCTAAGTCACACTTGTCATTGCCACAAGCTAAGTCACACTCGTCATTGCCACAAGCTAAGTCACACTCGTCATTGCCACAAGCTAAGTCACACTCGTCATTGCCACAAGCTAAGTCACACTCGTCATTGCCACAAGCTAAGTTTCACTCGTCATTGCCACAAGCTAAGTCTCACTCGTCATTGCCACAAGCTAAGTTTCACTCGTCATTGCCACAAGCTAAGTCACACTTGTCATTGCCACAAGCTAAGTCACACTTGTCATTGCCAAAAGCTAAGTCACACTCGTCATTGCCACAAGCTAAGTTTCACTCGTCATTGCCACAAGCTAAGTCACACTTGTCATTGCCACAAGCTAAGTCACACTTGTCATTGCCACAAGCTAAGTCACACTCGTCATTGCCACAAGCTAAGTCACACTCGTCATTGCCACAAGCTAAGTCACACTCGTCATTGCCACAAGCTAAGTCACACTCGTCATTGCCACAAGCTAAGTCACACTCGTCATTGCCACAAGCTAAGTCTCACTCGTCATTGCCACAAGCTAAGTCACACTCTCATTGCCACAAGCTAAGTCACACTCGTCATTGCCACGAGCTAAGTCACACTCGTCATTGCCACAAGCTAAGTTTCACTCGTCATTGCCACAAGCTAAGTTTCACTCGTCATTGCCACAAGCTAAGTCACACTCGTCATTGCCACGAGCTAAGTCACACTTGTCATTGCCACGAGCTAAGTTTCACTCGTCATTGCCACAAGCTAAGTCACACTCGTCATAGCCACAAGCTAAGTCACACTCGTCATTGCCACAAGCTAAGTCACACTCGTCATTGCCACGAGCTAAGTCACACTCGTCATTGCCACAAGCTAAGTTTCACTCGTCATTGCCACAAGCTAAGTCACACTCATCATAGCCACAAGCTAAGTCACACTCGTCATTGCCACAAGCTAAGTCACACTCGTCATTGCCACGAGCTAAGTCACACTTGTCATTGCCACAAGCTAAGTTTCACTCGTCATTGCCACAAGCTAAGTCACACTCGTCATTGCCACGAGCTAAGTCACACTTGTCATTGCCACAAGCTAAGTTTCACTCGTCATTGCCACAAGCTAAGTCACACTCGTCATAGCCACAAGCTAAGTCACACTCGTCATTGCCACAAGCTAAGTCACACTCGTCATTGCCAAAAGCTAAGTCTCACTCGTCATTGCCACGAGCTAAGTCACACTTGTCATTGCCACAAGCTAAGTGTCACTCATCATTGCCACAAGCTAAGTCACACTCGTCATTGCCACAAGCTAAGTCCCACTTGTCATTACCACAAGATATGTCACACTCATCATTGCCACAAGCTAATTCACACTCATCATTGCCACAAGCTAAGTCACACTCGTCATTGCCACAAGCTAAGTCTCACTCGTCACTGCCACAAGCTAAGTCACACTCGTCATTGCCACAAGCTAAGTCTCACTCGTCATTGCCACAAGCTAAATCACACTCGTCATTGCCACAAGCTAAGTCTCACTCGTCATTGCCACAAGCTAAGTCACACTCGTCATTGCCACAAGCTTAGTCACACTCGTCACTGCCACAAGCTAAGTCACACTCGTTATTGCCAAAAGCTAAGTCACACTCGTCATTGCCACAAGCTAAGTCTCACTCGTCATTGCCACAAGCTAAGTCACACTCGTCATTGCCACAAGCTAAGTCACACTCGTCATTGCCACAAGCTAAGTCACACTCGTCATTGCCACAAGCTAAGTCTCACTCGTCATTGCCACAAGCTAAGTCACACTCGTCATTGCCACAAGCTAAGTCTCACTCGTCATTGCCACAAGCTAAGTCACACTTGTCACTGCCACAAGCTAAGTCTCACTCGTCATTTCCACAAGCTAAGTCACACTCGTCATTCCCACAAGCAAAGTCACACTCGTCATTGCCAAGAGCTAAGTCACACTCGTCATTGCTACAAGCTAAGTCTCACTCGTCACTGCCACAAGCTAAGTCACACTCGTCATTGTAACAAGCTAAGTCACACTCGTCATTTCCACAAGCTAAGTCACACTCGTCATTCCCACAAGCAAAGTCACACTCGTCATTGCCAAGAGCTAAGTCACACTCGTCATTGCTACAAGCTAAGTCTCACTCGTCACTGCCACAAGCTAAGTCACACTCGTTATTGCCAAAAGCTAAGTCACACTCGTCATTGCCACAAGCTAAGTCTCACTCGTCATTGCCACAAGCTAAGTCACACTCGTCATTGCCACAAGCTAAGTCACACTCGTCATTGCCACAAGCTAAGTCACACTCGTCATTGCCACAAGCTAAGTCTCACTCGTCATTGCCACAAGCTAAGTCACACTCGTCATTGCCACAAGCTAAGTCTCACTCGTCATTGCCACAAGCTAAGTCACACTTGTCACTGCCACAAGCTAAGTCTCACTCGTCATTTCCACAAGCTAAGTCACACTCGTCATTCCCACAAGCAAAGTCACACTCGTCATTGCCAAGAGCTAAGTCACACTCGTCATTGCTACAAGCTAAGTCTCACTCGTCACTGCCACAAGCTAAGTCACACTCGTCATTGTAACAAGCTAAGTCACACTCGTCATTTCCACAAGCTAAGTCACACTCGTCATTCCCACAAGCAAAGTCACACTCGTCATTGCCAAGAGCTAAGTCACACTCGTCATTGCTACAAGCTAAGTCTCACTCGTCACTGCCACAAGCTAAGTCTCACTCGTCATTGCCACAAGCTAGGTATCACTCGTCATTGCCACAAGCTAAGTCTCACTCGTCACTGCAACAAGCTAAGTCACACTCGTCATTGCCACAAGCTAGGTCTCACTCGTCACTGCCACAAGCTAAGTCACACTCCTCATTGCCACAAGCTGTGATTACCACGACTCCCTATAGCACTCCCTGGTGAGCGCTAGTGGTGGGAGTACTCTCCCCTTTATTTTTGTAAAGTTAGTTTATGCTGAGAAAGGCCCCGGCTGAAACATAGATGTGTGTTATTTTTGTGCATGTTTTGCTTCTCCACTTCATGAAGCTTTTTAGTCACAGTTCACTGGTTTAATTTCTTCCTATAGCAGAAGTAATAATATCATCTGGAAAGATGGAAATGTGCCAGGTAAACATTTATTTCCCCGGCCTTCTTCAATAAACCTAAAATGTCACTGCAGGACATACCCATGCTGCTCTGTATGACTTACTGTCACACATTTTCTGTTTCTTGCTAGAATTTCTGCTCTGTTAAGGATCTTGCTTGGCTTATCTGAATATGTGCCCAGAAGACTTTAGTTTTCCCATTTGTCCATTTCCTGGGGCTGTTTCAACAGACAGCAGCAGCTGGTTAACTGATTCGATCACTGCTCTCATGCAGAACTAGATTCAATTCTCAGTCAGGGATGGCAATTTTTTTTCTGTCCCAAAATCAGAACCTGCTGCACAGTTCATGGCAACTGCATTAGTCATGTGGCCTTGAAACTTTTGGTTCCTACGTCCCATGTCTTATTCCGCTCCTAAACAAAATGTGGTAAATACAGATAGCAAAGACAGTTTCATCATGTTGCAGGTTCTTTGCAGAACGTCACTCTCATCACGGTCTGCTTGAAAGAAACTCAGTCTCTCGCCAGCTCTCCTGCCTCAAGTACTTTCATATTCCAGGAGTCACTTATAACTGTGTAACTGTGCCCATCTTCATGCTGGTTGGCCCCTGCCTCTCCTTCCCGGTACCATGCCTTCTAGTTTTATTTTTTTAGACCTACATTTTACAGACTAATCGGCATATGGTGGATGATACGGTCAGCATCATGTTGGCGGACTTTACTTCCCATGACTTCATCTGCTATCCCCTTAAGGTTGTTTTGACCTGGGAGCCAAGGTCCATCAGGACCCAAACCCACACCCTTGCGATGCCCAGGCAAGCGGCCTCAGTATGCAGACTCTTGGTTGGCTATTGAGGTGGCAGACAGAGCTGATATGAGCTTGTCCTGAATGCTATAATGTCCAGTCTTTACCCAGATTTGATCTCGACACAATAACTACACAGGGTCTCTGTGGCGAAGAGGCTGCACCATTTGCCTTGCACACTAAAGGTCATAGGTTTGTTTCAGCCTTCACTCTGTCGTTTACAAGTGGTGTTTTGGAGCTTCCAGGATCGTTGCTAGGCTAGTGTGTTTGTGTGTGTGGGGAGACTGAGAACCAAAAATGATAAAACCTAGTGCAGAGCTAATTCTGTTACCTTTACATATCATTATTAATATCACCATCAAGTGCCTTGACTAGCATGGGCAAAAATGCTTTTCCACAATCTGCGATCCGCAACTGGGTTATCAGTTCATGTGTTGACACCCCTCCATGCCACAACAATAGACTGTCAAGAATCTTCTCATACTGTTTTCCTCTACCTCTCTTACCACAAATCTTTCGATTTGATTTGATTTGTTTTGATTCAAGAACCGACATCACAGCACTCCGGGCATTCCCATAAGCGCTCCGTCCCCATCTTCAGTAGCCAGCAAAGAGTCCCGATACTAATGGTGCCAGTAGCTTTCTGATTAAACGTCCGTCTTGCCTTTCCTCTGAGCCTTGAGCTTCTGCCAGAACCTCTCGCCACCCCCAACTGTATCAATCTCACCAGACTGTGGTGATCCATCTGCTCCTCCGCATTGTCCACAATCTCCCACGAGGCACTAACCGCGTCTGCCCTATCATGTAGCAGTATTCCACCAAGTTGTGCAGAGCCAGCCAGTCTGTCCGCCTGTTCATTTCCCAACACATCGGCGTCACCTGATGAAAAAATCCAGACCACAAATATTTCCAGTGGTTAAAACATGTTCCATTTTCCCTCTTCGCAAAACATGACCAAAAATGATGACTGTCTTTTTTCTGATGTTTGATAAGTTGTCTACAAGCTCCTGCCTCTTTCAAAACACCTGGGTTGCTTTTCTTAGCTTTCCAAGGAATTCTAAAGATTCTTCTGTAAAACCACATCTCCGAGGCCTCAAGATATTGTATGGCCTGTTTATTAAATGTCCAAGATTCACAGCAGTATGTTAGAACTTCCTCTATACCTTTATATACACTTTATATTTTACAGTTATTTTTTCTCTTATAAAACTGCATCCTGCAGGATTAAGGGGGCAGTACTAGCAGGGGATCTGTGGCGTTAGAAACAATTTTAAAGATAGGACTCTCAAATTTTCAGACATGATGACCATATGATTAAGTTATCATATCAAACAAACTTCTCTGGAATTCAATATATACATGTGAGATAATAATTTTTTTAAGTAAAAAATTAATTTTTACATATGCAAAATATAGAATGAGAAACAAACAGCTACAAATCCCCCAAAATCTGGTTCAGTCATATACGTGAAAAGCAGTTAGAATGGGGCACCACAAAACAATTAGGAAGTAACTTGTGGTGGGTGGGTTGTGTTATCCGATACACACACTTCAAATGCCTTTACACTTTTTGGATGTTGTAATGTTTGATTTAAATGTGATGCCTGAGAAAAGCTGCCAACTTAATCATCTGAGACAAAGTTATAAATAATATTATCAGACAGACAATATGAACAACAGCAAATTCATTGAGAAACAGAAGATCAAATGGTTTTGTCGTTTAGTAAGAATGCAGCCAAAACAACTGCCAATGCAGGAGCTACACATAAAAAGATCTGAAGTGAAATCAAGAGGCTGCCCAGTTTGATGACATTAAAGAGCTTCTATATCAACACAGAATGACAATAGCCAATGGACCTGTCCATCAAACAATGGATTGCAAACTATTCCTCCCCACAACTAACGGCAGAAGTGGAAATTGATGATGATGGTGACACTTTTTGGATGTTATATTGTTTGAATTATTAGTTTTCAATATAGAATATTTGATAAGATTGTAAAGGATACAAATGGAATGATAGAAAAACAAACGAGGCAGTCCACCTTATAAACACTAATTTGAGATATGAATAAATGAAGTTCAACCCCACCAGAACCACACACAAAGTGCCACCATTCGGTTAAGAATCACATGGGGGCAAGTCCAGGAAACCCTGTTCAACAGTTAGGTTATATTAGGGCCCCCGGAAACAGTGGAGTGGGACTTTAAAATAACGAAAAACTGCGTCCAATATTGGTATGGTTTATTCTTAGAGGCATTGTATGTAGACAGTGTTTTGGGGATATATTACAAAAAGGAGTGGACTCAAAAAATGTGGTTACAACTGGCAAGATTGAGGGGAAAAAGAGCAAGGAGAAAACCAAGAGATAATTACTTGAATGGTCTGAAATATGGGCGGGGCGGGGCGAGACAAGATAACGGACCTGATCAATGATTCTGATGATCATGTGAGACAGTGAAACATTACTGTCTACGTTTAATGACAAGGGACATGATGATGATTCTTAGTTTTCACAAAGTATTAACTTATTTGGTATTAATCAATGCACTATGCTCCTTTAAAAACTCCTTACATGCTGTGCTTTTCTTCAAGTTTATAAGTCTCATTTACTTGTTACATTACTCTATTCTTCCTTGTCATTACTTTAACTTTCCCAATTCCAATTATTTTTTTAATTACTTTCAACCTAAAATTTGTTAATTTAAAGTAACAAATTATTCACATAGGAGTTGAAGTAACAATATTCCAGGACTCAAAGAGTCATCAGTGACCGGTCACCCATCGGCTGGCTGGTAGACGACTTCATCACCGGTCAGGACAGTATTTGGGTCTGCCTGCTTTGCTCGCATGAACACTGCAAGAGTCCTTTCTCAGGGCTATTTGGTGGTGAGCAATGCTAACTGATTTTATATGGCATGCTAAGCCATTTTATATGGCACACATATGCAACGCTCTCTAGCGAAGTTGGCTAAACCGGATTGCACTGTGACCGGGTGAGGAACTCTTTGTGGTCCATGTTCACTCCCGGGGGTAGGCAGAAAAGCCACATTTCTTCCAGATTTACTGTATTTACAACAGAGTCAAGGCCGAAAGGTTGCGATATCCATAATACCGAGCCTAAGGGTTAACAACTCATGGCTTCTGGATATTTAAAAAAAATATGTCACATATAAACCTAATCACAATTATAAATTAAAGCTCACCCTTTAGGGATGCTGGCTGAATGGCTGAATTTTTTATTTTTTTTTCACAAAGCATGCACAAACTAGATTTAAAAGAGTTAGTGTTCTGATTATAATTACCTAGCTCTCTCAGTTTCACAATTGCTTTGTCTCTTGTCTGAGCATCAGGAAGGTCCACAGCTGCTATAGCACCCAGTCCTCTCGCTCTTGACACAAGCTGAGGATAGCGAGTCTGTAGAAGAAAATATACATAATTTTACAAAATGTTCAACTAATCATTTCCTACAGCCTCTGACATGTGGCATTGGTATTATTGTCTATCCATTATTCCAGTAATACCAATGCTACATGTCACAGGCTGTAATGGATAGACAGTAATACCAATGCTACATGTCACAGGCTGTAGTGGATAGAAGGAATACCAATGCCACATACCAGAGGCTGTAATGGATAGACAGTAATACCAATACTACATATCAGAGGCTGTAATCCATAGAGAGTAATACCAATGCTAAATGTCACAGGCTGTAATGGACAGAGAGTAATACCAATGCCACATGTCACAAGGTTGTAATGGATAGACAGTAATACCAATGCCAGATATCAGAGACTGTAATGGATAGACAGTAATACCAATGCCAGATATCAGAGACTGTAATGGATAGGCAGTAATACCAATGCCAGATATCAGAGACTGTAATGGATAGACAGTAATACCAATGCCACATATCAGAGGCTGTAAGATAAGGACTTATGCTGGTTAAAATCTTGGTGACCCTCTATAGGGTACAGCCTACCCAGACATTGTGTGTGCGTGCGTGCATGCGTGTATGCGTGTATGTATATGATCTTGCTTGAAAACTGAACCACTTTGGACACATGAAGCACCACAGCAGATTGGAAAGAATATTAGCAGAAGGCAAGATGCCTTGAAAGTGGGACAGGGGCCAAGGAAGATGTGGTGATAGACCGAGTTTCTTTTAGGCAGGCTCTGATGACAGTGACATTCTGCAAAGACCTGCTATATGATGATGATGATAATGATGATGATGTATATGCATGTGTAAGCATCAATAAACAGATCAACCAGCCAATCAACAGTCTGACAGTAACAACCTCAGTTTTTAGGTCTGAGTTCTCAAGGGGACTATTCCATCGCTGCACATGTCCCACATCAAGACAAGCTATATCTCACCCTTAAAATAACATTTACTAGCTCTATATTCACCTGTGCATCTAACAATGCCTTAAGCAGATATTTGCCAGTGTCTTCTGTTCTTGCAAGGAGACCGTCTTCCTTGATCACATTTATGACCTCTTTCAGCATTACCACCTTGGAAGGGTCGCCAACCCAGGTGTTGAAAATGCGGTAGCCCTAGTATCACAAAAAGTGAAGGTGGAAAAAGTATGTGAAAAAAATGAAACAAATACAGTGAAAGGTATGAAAATATAATGAAATGCCAGTATTATCTTTTATTTTATTTGATTTCAGTGAGTGAGTGACATTCACACCCCTTAGGACGGCATGACAAGCGATTAACACAAGGTGACATAATGTGCCACAATTCGGATAAGAATCACCTGGGTGAAAATCCCAGAAACCCTGTTCAACCCATAGGTTACATTAATGAGACTGGGTAAAATATGCCAGGAAATAATTATTCTGCAATTTACTGATAGTGTCCACATTATTTTAGATAATGTAATTTTGTGATTCTCGGATTGACCCCAGCAGCTGGCGATCTGGCAGCAGACCATCTTATGTTGTTTTCGACAAAGGTATCAAGAGCCAGCCTTTCAGATTCAGTGTCAAACTATTGAAAGTAAACAGTGCCTAATTAAATCACAGTCTCAAACTATTGAAAGTAAACAGTGCCTAATTACATCACTGTGTCAAACTATTGAAAGTAAACAGTGCCTAATTAAATCACAGTCTCAAACTATTGAAAGTAAACAGTGCCTAATTACATCACAGTCTCAAACTATTGAAAGTAAACAGTGCCTAATTAAATCACAGTGTCAAACTATTGAAAGTAAACAGTGCCTTATTAAATCACAGTCTCAAACTATTGATAGTAAACAGTGCCTAATTACATCACAGTGTCAAACTATTGAAAGTAAACAGTGCCTAATTAAATCACAGTGTCAAACTATTCAAAGTAAACAGTGCCTAATTAAATCACAGTCTCAAACTATTGAAAGTAAACAGTGTCTAATTAAATCACAGTGTCAAACTATTAAAAGTAAACAGTGCCTAATTACATCACAGTCTCAAACGATTGAAAGTAAACAGTGCCTAATTAAATCAGTCTCAAACTATTTAAAGTAAACAGTGCCTAATTACATCACAGTCTCAAACTATTGAAAGTAAACAGTGCCTAATTAAATCACAGTCTCAAACTATTGAAAGTAAACAGTGCCTAATTAAATCACAGTGTCAAACTATTGAAAGTAAACAGTGCCTAATTACATCAGTCTCAAACTATTGAAAGTAAACAGTGCCTAATTACATTACAGTGTCAATCTATTGAAAGTAAACAGTGCCTAATTAAATCACAGTGTCAAACTATTGAAAGTAAACAGTGCCTTATTAAATCACAGTCTCAAACTATTGATAGTAAACAGTGCCTAATTACATCACAGTGTCAAACTATTGAAAGTAAACAGTGCCTAATTAAATGACAGTATCAAACTAATCAAAGTAAACAGTGCCTAATTAAATCACAGTCTCAAACTATTGAAAGTAAACAGTGCCTAATTAAATCACAGTGTCAAACTATTGAAAGTAAACAGTGCCTAATTACATCACAGTCTCAAACGATTGAAAGTAAACAGTGCCTAATTAAATCACAGTCTCAAACTATTTAAAGTAAACAGTGCCTAATTACATCACAGTCTCAAACTATTGAAAGTAAACAGTGCCTATTTAAATCACAGTCTCAAACTATTGAATGTAAATAGTGCCTAATTAAATCACAGTGTCAAACTATTGAAAGTAAACAGTGCCTAATTACATCAGTCTCAAACTATTGAAAGTAAACAGTGCCTAATTACATTACAGTGTCAAACTATTGAAAGTAAACAGTGCCTAATTACATCACAGTGTCAAACTATTGAAAGTAGACAGTGCCTAATTAAATCACAGTCTCAAACTTTTGAAAGTAAACAGTGCCTAATTACATCACAGTCTCAAACTATTGAAAGTAAACAGTGCCTAATTAAATCACAGTGTCAAACTTTTGAAAGTAAACAGTGCCTAATTACATCACAGTGTCAAACTATTGAAAGTAAACAGTGCCTAATTAAATCACAGTGTCAAACTATTGAAAGTAAACAGTGCCTAATTACATCACAGTGTCAAACTATTGAAAGTAAACAGTGCCTAATTACATCAGTCTCAAACTATTGAAAGTAAACAGTGCCTAATTACATTACAGTGTCAATCTATTGAAAGTAAACAGTGCCTAATTAAATCACAGTGTCAAACTATTGAAAGTAAACAGTGCCTAATTAAATCACAGTCTCAAACTATTGATAGTAAACAGTGCCTAATTACATCACAGTGTCAAACTATTGAAAGTAAACAGTGCCTAATTAAATGACAGTATCAAACTAATCAAAGTAAACAGTGCCTAATTAAATCACAGTCTCAAACTATTGAAAGTAAACAGTGCCTAATTAAATCACAGTGTCAAACTACTGAAAGTAAACAGTGCCTAATTACATCACAGTCTCAAACGATTGAAAGTAAACAGTGCCTAATTAAATCACAGTCTCAAACTATTTAAAGTAAACAGTGCCTAATTACATCACAGTCTCAAACTATTGAAAGTAAACAGTGCCTATTTAAATCACAGTCTCAAACTATTGAATGTAAACAGTGCCTAATTAAATCACAGTGTCAAACTATTGAAAGTAAACAGTGCCTAATTACATCAGTCTCAAACTATTGAAAGTAAACAGTGCCTAATTACATTACAGTGTCAAACTATTGAAAGTAAACAGTGCCTAATTACATCACAGTGTCAAACTATTGAAAGTAAACAGTGCCTAATTAAATCACAGTCTCAAACTTTTGAAAGTAAACAGTGCCTAATTACATCACAGTCTCAAACTATTGAAAGTAAACAGTGCCTAATTAAATCACAGTGTCAAACTTTTGAAAGTAAACAGTGCCTAATTACATCACAGTGTCAAACTATTGAAAGTAAACAGTGCCTAATTAAATCACAGTGTCAAACTATTGAAAGTAAACAGTGCCTAATTACATCACAGTGTCAAACTATTGAAAGTAAACAGTGCCTAATTACATCAGTCTCAAACTATTGAAAGTAAACAGTGCCTAATTACATTACAGTGTCAAACTATTGAAAGTAAACAGTGCCTAATTACATCACAGTGTCAAACTATTGAAAGTAAACAGTGCCTAATTAAATCACAGTCTCAAACTTTTGAAAGTAAACAGTGCCTAATTACATCACAGTCTCAAACTATTGAAAGTAAACAGTGCCTAATTAAATCACAGTGTCAATCTATTGAAAGTAAACAGTGCCTAATTAAATCACAGTGTCAAACTATTGAAAGTAAACAGTGCCTTATTAAATCACAGTCTCAAACTATTGATAGTAAACAGTGCCTAATTACATCACAAACAGCAAAAATTGCTGGCGCTCGTTCTGTAATCTTCGTTTTTGCTTCACGTTCATCGACTGTAAACTCCAGGGGAAAGTTCCGGATGTTCATCCATCTCTGGACTTTAGACTTTTTCCAAAATCTGAGTGTTCTGTGCACATTTATTTTACAGAGCTGATTTATTTGCATGCAGACTTCTGGCTTCCTTGCCTCTCTGGCAGATGCACTCTGATGGAAACCCTTAATAAGTCGACTCCTATGACATGTTTGTTGGGGAGGCAGTTGGTATTTTCTTGTTTTTCCCCTACAATGGGGCCCTGGAACCCACACAATAGGTTTTGTAAAGTCTCGTAAAGGATACACAACTAACATCTATATTTATGTATCTTTTAGACTTCTTAGTCTGTATTCTTTGATGGTGTCATGACAGGGAGAGCACTGGAATGCATTATCACAGTGGGGGAGCTTGAGGAAAAAGAGGCAGAGGGGGGCATAGAGAGAAGATGCTGCATGGTTTGACATCACAGCATGAAAAATCACCTATGGTAGAGTTAACTGAAGGTGTGTAAGACAAAAGGTTGCAAATAGACAAAAATGACCAATTTAAAACAACATGAACTATAAGAAGAAAACCTCTTGTTTAAATATTTTGCATCTACTTATACCTCAGTAGGCCTTAAATGATCCCGGTAGTAAAATCCACCGGTCAGCATTTTCTTGGCAAATGTCACAAGATCTGGTGGATCTCTCAGATTAAAATACTCATGCACCCAGAACTTGCCAGTTGTTCCTGCGCCAGTCTGCACCTCATCAATCAGGAAAGAAATATTGTTCTGGCAACAAAAAGGTAAATCACATCTGTAAGAAGGTAATCTATAGAAACAAATCTGACACAATAACATCCAAAATCAACATATGCTAGTTATGATGGGTCTGTCTTGTTGCCTTACATTCACAACATATCAGTCCAGATAACAGTTTGTGTAGGCAGATTGTCATCTTTTGATGGTGGAGGAAATCAATTCTCTTTATCAGTTAATTCCTTTTAAAACACCATCAATAAGTTTTCTATCTGCCTATGATGCTCTTAACATTCCTCTACAAAACTATATCTCCCCATTCTCCATGAAACATTTCACAGATCAGTTTGATATTCCAAGTGCTGACTTAGTGAAACAGACCAAAAAAAAACAAAAAAAAAAACCCATAAATGTTAGAATGGTTGCATTTCTGATACATCTCTTCTCACATGTTGTAATTTTGCATTACTGCTTTACCTTCTTCCTGCTTATGTCCTCTTTTACCCCTTCAGGTGTTGAGGGAGATATAAGGTCTGATATTATCTTCCCATCTTGTTCTTGGTCTACCTCTTGCTCTACATCCCTCTTCTCTTTTAGTATATGCCTTGTATGGTATAGCATCAAAAGGTGGGCAAAATGTTTGATATGCTGAAATTGTATGTAATTTAGAATTGGTTCTGTGCCAACTTTATCTCGTATGACTTCATTTTTGATTTTATCGCTTCTGGTCACTCCTACAGTCTTTCTCAGACACCTTATTTCCATGGTTACTGCTATATCTATTACCTAGATATGAATGTGTCAAACATTGTGTGCCATCTCCACAATGAAGGGTTGGCTTCAGTAGCCACTGTTGTCTTTGGGAATATTACATGGTCAGGCGCAAGTCTCTTCCACTGTGTGACTCTCGTATCATCATCAAAATGAAAACCATGAGAAAGAGAACAGATTTTTTTAAGGGGGGGGGGGGGGGGGGGAATAAACCATCAACCACAGAAATCAAATCCTAGTACTTGAAAGTTGAATGCTGAATTAAGAATCGACACCACAGCACTTGGGACACTTCCATAAGTGCTCTATTCCCATCTTCAGCAGCAAGCGAGCAGTTCCAATTTCGATGGCACCAGTAACTGCAAGATTGTATATCCATCTCGCCTTTACCTTAAGTGCTCAGCATCGGCCAGATTCATTGCAGCGCCCATTCTCATCAGACCGTAATGATTAATCTGCGCCTCCACACTGTTCCCTTGCCCCCAAAGGGCCTCACAAAATCTAGCTTGACATACATCAGTTCACCATCAAGTGGTGCAGAACTGGCAGGTCTATCTGCCTGCTCATTTCCCAACACACTGGCATCGCTTAGAGAAAATATCCAAAGGATACTAACTACCTGGGACCTCTGAAGTGATGCTTGCCACTCTGCACGAAGCATGCCTGTCTCCACCTTTCTCAACATGCTCTGTGAGTCAGTTACAATCACAGGATGCGTGTACAGCCGATTCTCAAGCCAGCAAAAGGCAGCAGTGACTGCCTCCACCTCCATGCTCAAATAGCCCAGGAAATAGGATCAGGAAACTGTTTAACTCATTCAATAGCCTCAAAGCCACAAAGTGGCATAAAATATGAGTCTTACTCACTTTTCTGGAAATATCTTGCAGTCCTTGAAAAAATTCTGCACTTGCAAAGTTATCTCCCCCTTCACACTGTATGGGCTCAGTTACAATACAGACAACAGGGTTACCTTTCTTACTGTAGACACCAATGAGCTCTTCAACCTGGCAAAAGAAATTATTTCATCATATTGTAACCTTTCAATGACAACTGGTTGCTATTTGTGAACAGTTTTGCTAATATGCTGTTGAAGGGCTGAAGTGCCACAATATAATAAAGCCTGCTTCAGTTCTGTCCTACAGTCACACATATATGGGGGGTGGGGGGAGGGAGATCAGTTAATCAGAATGGAACTCGCTCATAAGTAATGAATGAGTTAATTCTTTCACTATCAGGCAAATATAATTTAACTTATTTCCTCCTATGCAATTATTACTGTAAGCCTTTTGCTGCTAGGTTTCCGGCCGAAGCTGTCTGCCCTGTGCTAAGCAATCTGATAAAAATAAAGGTATATCCTATGCGCAATACTTTTCAACCCTCCAAACCTAAACAGGGAGCGGGGTGCATGGTCGCAAGGCATGGTGTCTGCCTCGAGTGTTAGAGGTGACAGGTTCAATCCCTGGTGAGGGCTGGGATTTTTTTTAATGTGGACTTGGACTTCTAGTAATTCCCCCTGCTCTCTGTGTAGTCAGATCAGACACCCGTGTGTAAAAAAATCCCTTGGCATTTTGAAATCGAAAAGTAAAAATCCCTTTTCACGCTTTTTTTAGGCGTATTGAGTAAATGGGAAGAGCGTCCATATTTTTACAGACCATCGGCACTAGGTGGGTAATGTGTTCAGCATGACCCCGGCCATCTTTGCTTCCTCAAGACAGGCATCCTGTTATTCATTTTAGGCTGGGTCGACCATGATAAAAATCCATGCAGCCAACAGTGGGTTTCGAACGTGGCACAGTGGAATTACAAGTCGGACTCGCAATACCTAAGCCACGGACGCCGCCGTAGGATAACTACAACTGAAAAAGGAGACCAGTGTTGCACTATGTTATAGACTGACACAAGCATTGTCTGTTGTATAGTATAGAAAGTAATGAATTTTAATCGTCATGTCAGTACATGACCATATCATCTTGTTGAGATGAGATCTTATAGTGGCAGGTGCTTCTCAAATACTTTCTTGCAGAACCAATAAAGTTCATCTGCGATGAAAGTCATCAGTGATTTCATTGGGACTAAAACTAGGGGGGACAAAAATAAAATACTGAACTGTTTGGATTTACAGCTGCAGAAATACAGTGACAGCTGGAGTGATACAAATTATGCACAACTGGTCTCAAGTCATTGGTAGTCCGAGACATTTGATCAATTTATGCCTTTTTGAAGGCACCTTATTGTCGCTGCTGATTCCGATGATGAGGATATCAGACAGGCAAACAGCTTTTTCTTGGCCATGCTGGTTTGTCTCGTTGATGTTGATGGCCTAGTCAAATTTTGTTCACTGTCAGAAGTAAACATTTCAAAGTCATCTAATCTATCACTCCTTCACAGAAACTCCATTAATTCTACATCAACTTTATTAAGTTTTCTTGTTATTTTGTATTACTGAAATGTAGAATAGTCCAAAACCATAAACATTTACCAAGGCACCCAATATACAGATCACCGGCCAAGCTGCCACTGTAAACTAAGTGACAGGCTAACACCTTAAACACACCTAAGTGCACGTTGCAGTGTTTGTTAATCGTATGTAATGAGCCAATTAAATACAAATATAGCTAATGTGACGAGAAAACAATCCATAGAAATCTGTAAGGAAAGTCGAAAAATTTGTTTTTATATCCATAGCACTGGGGGTCAAGAAAGAACAACGTCCAAAGAAGTCTGTAGCAAAATGGGAAAACACGTCCATAGCAGCAAAAGGGTTGAGTAACAAATATTTGGGTCAGAATGCTTTAAAACAGTAGTACTCTGAGAGAGAAGGAATTAAAGCTATTGCTGGGGCAATGTGGATTACTATAATCAGGTAATCACAGTTTCAAATTCATAGCAAACAGGTCAACCCACAGTTGCTCTGTTCCTGTGCCAACAAAAACCACACGGAGAGTCAATCACTGTCCCTTGTGGAAAAAATGGCACAGACGTCAGTCTCAGGATATTCAATAGATACACATGCATTAAATCCATAAGGCAGCCATCAAAAGTGCCAACACAAACAGTCCAACACTAGAAATGCAGTTTATCAGCAATGAAAGCAGCAGTAACAATAGATCAGTAGGTGCACATGATTAATCACAAAACATATAAGGCACCACCATTTCTGTAGCAACAGGTGCTCACAATTGTCTAAATCTACAGTTCAGTATGGGTTAGTATTACAACATCAGGATGTGGCATGAGGAGTTCAGAAACATGTATAATGTAAGCAACATGTCTGTATTTTGGGGTGCCTGTCCCCATAGGAAAGTTCTAATCCCCCCCCCCCCCACCCCCCTCCCCTTTCTTGAATTTCTTGCACAAACAACTGGAGTCAGTTGTGTCAAGTTCACATTCTAAATACATTAGTAATTTCTCAGTAAAATAAGTATACCTCTGCCAAGCATCTAGCTTCCTCTTTTTTATTCTCCTGCACAAAGTCCTCCAGCGGATACTTCAGTTGAGGAAAAGATGCAATTGGCCAGTCAGGACTTGGGAAATCAAGTTTGTGTGACCACTTAGTATGCGTCAATGCCAAAGCACCTAAGAAAATATACAGCAGTGCTTAACTACCAAGGGTCACATAATTAAAAAAGGTAATTGGATTATATTCTACGGTCATGGTCCACCTGTGTTCCACATCAGCACAGTGATTATAATAGCAGAAGGCATGGTACCACGGCAGGGGCCAACCAGCACAACAATGGGCATAGAATACAGGTGATATCTTGGGTAGGAAAGTGCACGAGGTGGGAGAGCTGATGAGAGACAAGAGTTTTCTTGAGGCTGACCATAGTGACAGCGACGTTCTGCAAAGATCCTGCCTAATGATGATAACTGCCATTATGCTTTAATTATACCTCAACATAAATATGTAGACTGCTGTCTGTCCATCTAATTATCTTAACTCTGAATCTTGTTCAACCTTTCTGTTTGTGTTTCACTAAGTGAGAGAATTTGCATCTGATATTCCATAACAGAGAGGATTAATCCTTGATACAGGATGATGAGAAGATGCTGCCAACCACATGTGGCAGCCCTATATAGCTTTGATAGCCACATTATCAACATGGGATTTAAACCTCATGCATCAATCAAACTGTACATCCTAGTTATTTAAGAGGCTCCTTCTTGCAAACAATTTTTTTTTTAATGTGTGATTCTAGCAAAAAATATTTATCTGTATCCTCACCAATACTAAACAGTTCTCCTTGTGTCAGAAGATGCTGAAGTCTTTTTGGGGGTATCCATATACAATAGAAGTGATTCTTCACAAAACCAGTCACACTTAGTTTCCATTCAAAGAGAGTTCTTCCTGCATGTAAATCTCACATTTACTATGTTTCAGTGTTTTATATCTGTAACTCGTGATGTGAGTGATTTTATGCAAAACAACTTCCTACATGATGTTGATGACTTTTATGTCATCTAATTTCTCTAGTTAGTCAACTGATCATCATCAATGAATATCGAAGCACTGAGTCTATAAGTGCTTACATCTCCTCTTCAATGTATTCCTCAGCATGAAGCAGCAGACTAAACTAGTTCTGTGTCAGTCTTCTTCTTTGTCTTGTTGAGTCTTCATTGGCCACAGAGAAAGGAGATGGAATGTGTATGGAAATGTAAGTACAGTGATGTCAATTCTCAATTCATTCATTCAGTCTGGCATAATTTCTTTTGTTTCCTTTTTTCTGAAGTAATATTTTTACAAAACATATCATCCTTGATAATTCACCATACTAATGAGACACAGAAAGTACTGACCCATCGTTCTTCCATGAAAGGCGTTCTTGAATGAGAGAACAGAAAGATTTGGATTTCCTGGTGGCTTGTTTAATAAACTTGTTTCCAGCTCTTCTTTAGTTGGTGGTTTGCCTCCCCGTATTCTTCTCTGCACAAAAACAATGAAAATACAATTTCACAGAAAAAGTCGAGTATGGATAAGCAGAAGTCACAGGGACCTAAGAAAACTGTTCCACTTATCAGGAATTCTGCTTGTCCAGACAGCACGCACAACAGGGAATGTACACTAAAACGAAGAAGTAGCATTGAGTAAAACAATTATACCAGGTAAGAAACAACATAATTTAACAAACAGATAGCAATACAATATCAGAAATGTTAAAAAATTTATTTACTTTAGAAGTACAACCATATGCAAATTCAGACATTAATTAAAGAAAAAGTCTGTGATTTTGCTTTGCTTTTTGGATTGGGAAAAATGTCTTTCCATGGCATGTGTAAATGCAACAAATGGTGAGATTACATCTTCTGAACACAAAGTTTGCATCTTGTAAATGTTAATGTTGTCCATGCATGCAAAAATATCTGACCATGATACAGGTTGTGCTTGCCCACAATCATACTCATCATCAGAGTCAGGGTTAAAATGGTCATTTGGTTGAGTGGTTAGCAGACATAGCCCTATAATATCACTGTTTGAAAGAGTGGCACTGGTAAAAAACTCATTATCAATGTTCACAAAAACTCTTCTGGTTCAATATTCAGCTCCTGATACAACCTAGCAAGTTATCATCATCATCATCAATTCTCTTTATGCCTAATGGCACATGAGGCTTTAGAAAGGACTTTCCATGCTTTCCTGTCCTGTGCAATCTTCAGTGCAGTTTTCCATGTCATAGATGCCGCATTCAGGTGACTCTCCATCGTTCGTCTCCATGCTGTTTTTTGGGCACCTCTTTTTTCTCTTTCCCTCTGGTATCCCAGTGAGAGCTGTTTTGGCAGGTATATCATGATTCATTCTTTTAACGTGGCCAAGCCATCTCTATCTTCTCTTGGTTATCATACTGTCTAAAGTTTCTTGGTTTGTGGCTTGAAGTAGTTTATCGTTTGAGATTGTGTCTGGCCAGAAAATTTTGATAATTCTATGTATACATGTGTGGTGGAAGGTGGACAGCTTGTGTGCATCCTTTTTGGTCATTCTCCAGCATTTCGCTCCATAAAGAAGAACTGGCAAAATGATGCTCTTGTAGAGTTTAAGTTTTGTTCCTCTACAGTAACTGTTGGATTTCCAGATTTGCCTTATCCTTCCAAAAGCAGCTCTAGCTTTGTTTAGGCATGACTGTATGTCTTCTTCTGTCCCTCCCAGTAGGGACACCTCACTGCCAAGATATGTGAAATGTTCTACATTATCAACTGTTTAGTTACTAGCTAAGTAATGGCTCTACTTAAATATCAGTAACATTAGTCTCAGTGCTTGTTGATGGTGTATAACCCTGTTCTGTCAGTTATAAATAACCTCAAATGAAAAAAAAATAAATATAAGTCACACACCTACAGTCTGGCAGATAATATGCAAGGATGGAATTCTATTCTTTTATTTTGTCTCATTTTCCCAATCTTCACTTATTCATGTCTATATATTCATTTTGGAATAAGATTCTGTCTGAATGAGCTGTTTAATTTAACTCTTTGAGTCCCAAGGAACACATCATACGTTCATAGGTTCCTACCTAGAAGCCCAATGAACGCATGATGTGCTGATTTTATAACTATCTTTACTACCCCCTGGGCTTGTGATGCTAAACCCCCTGAGACTCAAGAGTTAAACTATAATGGCTATCAATATTATTGATAGAATCATGCAAAAACTCACCTGGTATGTCATAAATGCAGCTTTCAGTGCATGTTCTATGGAGCAGGCTCCACAGGCCATTGTCTGCACTTGTCTTAAGCCTGGTGGTGCCACCTACCAACGGACAGAATGTGAGTTTCCTGGCTATAAATTAGAACACTCTTTTTAAAATTTGAGCTGACTTTCATTCCTGTGTAGATTCTGGGGACTCCATGTGTGTGTGTGTGTGTGTGTGTGTGTGTGTGTGTGTGTGTGTGTGTGTGTGTGTGTGTGTGTGAGGAGGGGGGGGGGCACTGCTCTCAACAAGCATATTGTACACATTGACTAATTAGGAGTTTTTTTTCTTTGAAGTGAATACATCTGCATGAGAGGCAAGGAACCAGCAGTCTGCATTCAAAAAGGTCTAGGAGGGAAACTCTGACAGGCAGACTAACAGAGCACTGCTCTTCTGATACAGCTGCTTCTGCAGCCTGCTTTGTTCCAAAAGTATTGGTGTTAATTTTCCTTTGCAGTAGACAAGGCAGGTTGAGAGAGGAATAATGATACATAAGCAACATATGGTCTCTACAATACTGCCCAGGCTTTGTGCTGTGGGGAGGATCGCAATGGGCTGAGAGTCCCATGGCTCCTCATAGTGCAAGATAGAACTATCATCTGGAAAGATAGAAAGATGCCATTCAAAACTGCTTTAAAGTTGTACTGAATCTACCGTAAACATTCTGGAATTAATATTATGCAGATGTGGAATCCAGTTTTATTTATGCCATTCTACAACACTGTATTCAGTTTTATATCACCTTATACATTTTTACGCATTATCGTGGCTTTGGTAATACATATTATTGAGGCCTGAGTCTCAAAATGTGCAAGGTGAGGTCCTCAGGAGGTTTCATCAAAATGGAAAGGAGCCTTGAAGAAGTGTGGAGAAATCATGTAATCCCAATGTTGTTTGTCATTCAATAGGATATTTGAAAGACTTTCTGAACAAGCGACAGCCAGCTTTGAATCTTCACATCAAAATAAACATGTACCATTTTACTAAACACTGCAAGCTTACAGATAACAAGGACTCCGTCATGTTCTTCACAAAATCTGCAGGTGGGAAAATTCCCAGGGCTGGTCTGTTGACAAATGAGCTCTGGGGAGTTAAGAACAGTCATCACAAATGAGCTCTGGGAAGTAAAGAACAGTCATCACAAATGAGCTCTGGGAAGTAAAAAGGAGTCATTACAAAAGAGCTCTGGAAATTAAAAAACAGTCATCACAAATGAGCTCTGGGGAGTAAAGAACAGTCATCACAAATGAGCTCTGGGAAGTAAAGAACAGACATCACAAATGAGCTCTGTGAAGTAAAGAACAGTCATTACAAATGAGCTCTTGAGATTAAAGAACAGTCATCACAAATGAGCTCTGGGGAGTAAAGAACAGTCATCACAAATGAGCTCTGGGAAGTAAAGAACAGTCATCACAAATGAGCTCTGGGGAGTAATGAACAGTCATCACAATTGAGCCCTGGAAAGTAAAGAACACTCATCACAAATGAGCTCTGGAAAGTAAAGAACAGTCATCACAAATGAGCTCTGGGGAGTAATGAACAGTCATCACAAATGAGCCCTGGAAAGTAAAGAACAGTCATCACAAATGAGCCCTGGAAAGTAAAGAACAGTCATCACAAATGAGCTCTGGAAAGTAAAGAACAGTCATCACAAATGAGCTCTGGGAAGTAAAAAACAGTCATCACAAATGAGCTCTGGGAAGTAAAAAACAGTCATCACAAATGAGCTCTGGAAAGTAATGAACAGTCATCACAAATGAGCTCTGGAAAGTAAAGAACAGTCATCACAAATGAGCTCTGGAAAGTAAAAAACAGTCATCACAAATGAGCTCTGGGAAGTAAAGAACAGTCATCACAAATGAGCCCTGGGAAGTAAAGAACAGTCATCACAAATGAGCTCTGGAAAGTAAAGAACAGTCATCACAAATGAGCTCTGGAAAGTAAAGAACAGTCATCACAAATGAGCTCTGGAAAGTAAAAAACAGTCATCACAAATGAGCTCTGGGAAGTAAAGAACAGTCATCACAAATGAGCCCTGGGAAGTAAAGAACAGTCATCACAAATGAGCTCTGGAAAGTAAAGAACAGTCATCACAAATGAGCTCTGGAAAGTAAAGAACAGTCATCACAAATGAGCCCTGGGAAGTAAAGAACAGTCATCACAAATGAGCTCTGGAAAGTAAAGAACAGTCATCACAAATGAGCTCTGGAAAGTAAAGAACAGTCATCACAAATGAGCTCTGGAAAGAAAAAACAGCCATCACAAATGAGCTCTGGGGAGTAAAAAACAGTCATCACAAATGAGCTCTGGGGAGTAAAAAACAGTCATCACAAATGAGCTCTGGAAAGTAAAGAACAGTCATCACAAATGAGCTCTGGAAAGTAAAAAACAGTCATCACAAATGAGCTCTGGGAAGTAAAGAACAGTCATCACAAATGAGCCCTGGGAAGTAAAGAACAGTCATCACAAATGAGCCCTGGGAAGTAAAGAACAGTCATCACAAATGAGCTCTGGGAAGTAAAGAACAGTCATCACAAATGAGCTCTGGAAAGTAAAGAACAGTCATCACAAATGAGCTCTGGAAAGTAAAAAACAGTCATCACAAATGAGCTCTGGGGAGTAAAGAACAGTCATCACAAATGAGCTCTGGGGAGTAAAGAACAGTCATCACAAATGAGCTCTGGAAAGTAAAAAACAGTCATCACAAATGAGCTCTGGGGAGTAAAAAACAGTCATCACAAATGAGCTCTGGGGAGTAAAAAACAGTCATCACAAATGAGCTCTGGAAAGTAAAGAACAGTCATCACAAATGAGCTCTGGAAAGTAAAAAACAGTCATCACAAATGAGCTCTGGGAAGTAAAGAACAGTCATCACAAATGAGCCCTGGGAAGTAAAGAACAGTCATCACAAATGAGCTCTGGAAAGTAAAAAACAGTCATCACAAATGAGCTCTGGGGAGTAAAGAACAGTCATCACAAATGAGCTCTGGGGAGTAAAGAACAGTCATCACAAATGAGCTCTGGAAAGTAAAAAACAGTCATCACAAATGAGCTCTGGGGAGTAAAAAACAGTCATCACAAATGAGCTCTGGGGAGTAAAAAACAGTCATCACAAATGAGCTCTGGAAAGTAAAGAACAGTCATCACAAATGAGCTCTGGAAAGTAAAAAACAGTCATCACAAATGAGCTCTGGGAAGTAAAGAACAGTCATCACAAATGAGCCCTGGGAAGTAAAGAACAGTCATCACAAATGAGCCCTGGGAAGTAAAGAACAGTCATCACAAATGAGCTCTGGGAAGTAAAGAACAGTCATCACAAATGAGCTCTGGGGAGTAAAGAACAGTCATCACAAATGAGCTCTGGGGAGTAAAGAACAGTCATCACAAATGAGCTCTGGAAAGTAAAGAACAGTCATCACAAATGAGCTCTGGGGAGTAAAGAACAGTCATCACAAATGAGCTCTGGGGAGTAAAGAACAGTCATCACAAATGAGCTCTGGAAAGTAAAGAACAGTCATCACAAATGAGCTCTGGGAAGTAAAGAACAGTCATCACAAATGAGCTCTGGGGAGTAAAGTTTAGTATTAGTTTTAATTTCTGTTGACCTCTGCTAATGTCCTAGTGCTATGAAAGCTTCTCTTGCCTTATATATTGAGAAATATATTGGCCTTGGCACTCTGGTTTCCCAGCCTCAAATTGGCACCAGGTAATATCCTAGGGAGTAAAGGCAGCTAGCCAGATTCTGACCACATCATCCATTGAGTGCAGATTTTCCCCCCGAAAATATGAGTCTAGAATCCTATGCCCAATGCACCACTGGCGTGAAAAGTGTCTTTTACTTTTACTTTTTCTCCATGTGGGTTCCAGGGCTCATTTAGGGGGAATGAACTAACGAACAAATATTTTCTCCATGTGGGTTCCAGGGTTCATTTTAGGGGCAATGAACTAACGAACAAATATTTTCTCAGTGTGGATTCCAGGGTTCATTTTAGGGGGAATGAACTAACGAACAAAACTTTTTCTCTGTGTGGGTTCCAGGGCTCATTTTGGGGAAAATGAACTAACAAACAAACTTTGTTTTCAAAAGGTCACAATTTGGGCACGCAGGCCCATCTTACATTGGGCCTTTTCAAACACCCTTCTTTCACACATCAATTGTATTTTATCAATAAAGCATGTTTTGTTCATCGAACAATATGGGGGGGGGGGGGGGGGGGGGGGGGGGGGGGGGGGGGGGGGGGACAGAATAGACCGACTTTCCCCCTCCCCCACAAAAATGTCTTGTAAAAGGTGACTTAGTAGATGTGTTTCCTTTGAAGTCTGACTACATCTGCCTGATAGGCAAGGAACCAAAAGTCTGCATGCAACTAAACCAGATCTGTGATATGGATGCACCGGCAAAACTCAGGTCTTGGAACAAGATTAAATTCCAGAAATAGACAAACAATCTGTAGTTTACAGCCCATGAACGCAAACAAACAAACAAAAGTTTAACTTTTTATTTTAACCGAGTGGTAGTGGTCACAGAAACCTTGCTCTTTGCGACCTCTTCTTGTTCCCACAACTTATGACAGTGGTGAAAGGTCAGTGATTCAGTGAAGAATATCAAGCTAACACGATGAGACAACTGAGGGCTATTAAACAAAATGCCAATCAGAGGTGCTTCTATCACTGGCAGAACATTGCAGTATTTGCCATCATCATCAGGTGCCTTGCCCACTGGCAGAGGCGATCATGCCTCTCAATAATCTGCGAACTCCTGCAGCATGTATCAGTTTGTGTGCTGACACACCTCCATGCCATGCAACAAGACTGACAAGAATCTTCTCTCGTTGTTTTCCTCTATCCCTCCTTCCACAGATCTTTCCAGTGGTCACAACATATTCTATTTTCGCTCTTCTCATAACATGGCCCAAAAATGAAGATTGTCTCCTTCAGATGTCTGTGATAAGCTGTCTTTGGGCTCCCGCCTCTTTCAAAACCTCTTGGTTGCTCTTTTTGGCTGTCCAAGGTATTCTAAGCAGTAACTGTACATAGTCAGAAAGGCATTTTCAAGGAGATAAAAATCACAAAATTGCTACTTTACTTTTGGAAAAAAGCCCCAAAACCTAATAACTAACCCTCATAATGGTCAAATTTGTCTACATTTGCTCCATGCTTTACAAATAATTCACTGTCTTGTGGTGTTTATAAAAATACTGAAATATGTACTATTACAGAATACAGCTAGATAATATGTGGCCAGAGCCACATAATATACATTCTAAAAAAAAAAAAGATGCATCGGGTTTCACCCCATATAGCTATCTCCTTCCATCTCTCTCTCTCTCTAAAAATAAATCTGATTACTAGGTGAAAAAGTTTTCAGAATACTCACAAGGTTCCCTGGGTCTGTTAATACTTTGATTATTCTAGGATGGTTGTACCCTAACATGTGAGAGAACAAATAGAGTGAATAAAATACAGACATGAAGCAATGATACATACAGATGTATACATGCATGCTGATGTTGTACAGATCCAGATTATTTGTTATTGCTGAACAATTGGATTCAAACAGAGATGAGATCCTTTAAAGTTGGGAGTGCAACTTTCTTAGAGGCAAGGAACCAACAGTCTGCACACTCATAAGCCAGATCTGTTTAATGGATGTGCATGGAAAACCGAAGTGCTGGAACAAAGGCAAAGTTCAGAAGGGGACAAGCACCCAGTAACTTCCACCAGAGTTTACAGTTATAGACAGTGAATGCTGAAAAATAAGACAGACTTACAGAGAGAGAGAAAGAGAGAGAGACAGAGAGAGAGAGAGAGAGAAAGAGAGACACAGACAGACAGAGTGAGAGAGAGAGAGACAAGGATGGACGGACAGACAGAGAGTGAAAGAGAGAGAGAGAGAGAGAGAGAGAGAAGAGGGATGGAGAGAGAGTGCATCTCTTGATATTATTCCCATATGTGTGTGTGTGCATACATGTGTGGGCGCGCGTGCGTGCATGTGTGCGATTCTTATAGCTGTTGTTTGCAGCCAATACATGTCTTTTTTTTTAATTTTTTTTTTTTATTATTCGTAGATCTTTTCCGTCAAATCAATTTTTTAGTAGTTTGATTTTTTCCATAGCCCTTCCAGTAGAGTCCTGAGGATGTAAATGACACTGTTTGTACCTTGTGTCTATAGCACACAGAAAAATTATACAAGATTTAGACCGTGGCAGAAAATACAACAAGCAATTTTCTTCTTACCCAAAGGAATACTAGCAATCTGTGTGTATAAATCCAGCAGGACATTGCCATCAACATCAACAATATAATTTCCCACACTTTTCTGGTAGTCCACAAAAAACTGAACAGCATCTGTGTTCTGGGGGGAAACAAAAAGAGTTCATGACTGCCAGGCTGGGTGCTTTATTAATATCCTACCCTAAATAGGGGAAATCCACAGGTCATGGGATAGTCTAATATTTCAGGGGTGGTAGATAGGCTGCATGCAGTCGTGGGACCTAGGCTGCATGCAGTCATGGGACCTAGGCTGCACTCTCTCATAAGACATAGGTGGGTTGGGGTTGGGGTCAGTTCTAGATGTTTTTGGGTCGTTAAAAGCATCAGAAAGCTGGGAAACCCAGTCTTACCACCCTAAAAAATGTTGGACTGTCCTGTGACATCATCTGGGGTAAGATATTAATAAAGAACCCCAGGCTACATATTAATTCTTTGAGTCCTTAGAAATGCACGGTCAGATACTGTCTATGTGTACCATTTAACACACAATAAGACCAGTTATTTTCTTCTTCTTCGCGCTCACCAGCAGTAAACTCCAGCAGAAAGTTCTCGTGTCCACCTCTGGACTTTAGTTTTGTTCCAGAACCTGACTGTTGCGTGCACATCCATTTTATAGACCTGATTTATTGGTATGCAGATTGTTCCTTGCCTCTCAGGCAGATGCATCCTGACTTCAAAGAAGCCCCCAGTTAGTCAGTTAGTCGACTCTTAAGACATGTTTTTTGGAGAGGCAGAGGGTCTGTTCTTGTTTTCCCTACAGTGGGGCCCAGGAACCCACCCGGGGAACCAGCTCTTTTAACATACAATAAACAAATTTTTATACCAGATGCATATTTGTTGCTTCTGTGAAAGTCCTCAGCACCAGCACACCACCATTACAGGGACTCACATGGATGTATATACTGTCCAGGAAATGCAGAAATGTGAGGGAATGAAAGAGCACATTTTTTTGGCTACAAAAGCATTAACTACATGAACACTCATACTGGATGAAGGAGAAATACTGAGGACCATTTATGAATTCATGTTGATAGACAACACAAGGTCAGATGGTTTAGGTTTAGGCAACAGATCAAAATCATAGTACAAGAGTAGTAACCTTTAAGTGCTCCATTCTACTTCTAACTCAAGCCTGAGTCTGAAGAATCTCAGCGCAGTGCATGACCTCCGTAGCACAGGCGAGGATCCTGACATACTTTGGGTAGATTTTACCTCGTAATATTTTTTTTTTTTTCCCCCATGGGAGTGCAATTATGCTACACCTTTTTTTTCCCCAGCTGCCAAGGGATTTTATGTGCGCAATGATACACATGAGCGTGTGATCTTACTACCCAGGGACCAGGAGAAAGTACTAGAAGTCCATGTGAAAACAATTTTAGCCTTCACCGGGGCCTGAACCAGAGACCTCTGGCACTCGAGGCAGACGCCATGCCTCGAGGCCCCTCAGATGAAATAACACGTGTGAGAATTGTCAGCCTTGAATCAGGTATGAATCCAGCAAGGAGGGATGTATGAGAGGATGAGAACCACGAGTGTATAATCAGTGTGCTATAGAAACAGTCAGTATCTACACCTTAAGATATTTGCTGCAGGAGATGGAGCACCTATTGGTATGCCCAGACTGCTATGATGCTTATTCTTTAATCAGAAATCAATGACAGTCATGCACTTCTTTATTATTTATTTTTGCTAATGTTCCCTTCTGATATCTTATCTGAAATCTAGTAAAAAACGAGTTTATTACATGCAATATTAATGAATATACAATTCTATGAATATCAAAATACAGCGTACATACCAGAATTTGGAATACACAGAAATGCAAAGTGGGTAAATAAAGATTGTAGGTGAAGTTAGCTGTGTGTGTGTTAGAGACTATGGGGTAGGTTGGTGTGTGTGATACTATCGTGTATGTGGGTGAGTGTAAAACTATGATGTATGTGGGTGTGTGTGACACTATGGTGTATGTGGTGGGTGTGTGGTGTAAGACTATGGGGTACATTGGTGTGTGTATGTGTGTGTGATACTACGGTTTATGTGAGTGTATGTGTGTGATACTATGGTGCATGTGGGTGTGTGTGATACAATGGTGTATGTGGGTGTGTGATTCTATGGTGTATTTGGTGGGCGTGTGTGATATATTATGGTGTATGTGGGTGATACCATGGTTTATGTGGGTGCGTGTGTACTATGGTGTCTGTAGTATATATGTGTGTGTGATATTATGGTATCTGTGGGTGTATGTGTATGATACTATGGTGTATGTGGGTGTGTGTAATATACTATGGTGTGTGTGGGTGATACTACGGTGTATGTGGGTGTGCGTGACACTATGGTGTATGTATTATATGTGGGTGTGTGATACTACGCAGGATGGGGGTGTATGTGATAGTATGGTGTAAGTGGGTGTGTGTGATACTATGGTGTATGTAGTATATGTGGGTGTGTGATACTATGGTGTATGTAGTTGTGCAAGATATTATGGTATATTTGGGTGTGTGTGTGTGTGTGTGAGACCATTGTGTATGTGGGCGTGTGATACTATGGTGTATGTGGGTGTGTGTGAGTGTTTTGCAGAACGTGTACAATTTAGTACATATTTTAACAGAGATACTTGGCGGAGTCAACATTTGTAATAACCCCTTTTATGTTTATGTGCACACACAGAATTGTGCATGTGTGAGTGAAGTGTTTGGTGTGTACGCGTGAGTGAACTACGGGTATGTGAGTAGCATAGCAATGTTTAGGTCTGAGTGAATGGACTTCTGTTTGTGTGTATGAGAGAGAGAGAAAGAGAGAGAGAGAGAGAGAGAGAGAGAGAGAGAGAGAGAGAGAGAGAGAGAGAGAGAGAGAGAGAGAGAGAGAGAGAAGAGGGAGGGGGAGTGGATAGTAAAATTGACTGTCCTGCTTTTAGATAAACCTGACCCAGTCCTCTCTCTGACATATCTGATGCACATGATTACACATGCCTGTCTGGCACACAGGGAAAAGGTTGTGACATTTACACTGATGTTCTAGACATGAAACTTCCTCATTACCTCACGATGAAAGCTCAATGTCTGGACTATGGCAGACTGTACAACATTCAGTGCAGCTTGATGCCCTCCCACATTCTTCCATGGTAAAGTGCTGATTTAACTACCTTTACTGCCTGTAGTAGCTGCCATGGTGTAGTGGCTTGAAGCTTGACTGAAGATCTGTAGGTTGCTGGTTCATACACAAACAGACCTGTACTTTTTTCTTCACAAAATAACTGTGGCTTCCAGGTCAACGTAGCCTTAAATGGAGACCAGGTCAAATCCTGGAAAGTAAAGGTGGTCGGCGTGATACTGACGACATCACCCACCGAGTGCTGATTGATTTTTAAAATAGAGGTCCCGTACACCCGAAGGTGTGGAAAGAAGTCCATCCTACTGCCTGTGTTTACCACTTTCAGGTTGTGAGCCTGAAGATATAAGGACCACATGGCTAGTGCAGTTGCCATGAACTGCGCATGTTAGGATTGTTATTTTTTTCCTTGCAACAAACGAAAATCCCCATCCCTCACCAAGGATTGAATAAAAATATTTGAGAGCAGGATGGCGCCAAATGTAAAGATGGACTAATAATGTTACAAATATTATACATCCACACAGAATGACAATGGCAAGTACAAACCTCCTTCTACTTCCTTTGACATTAAAAGGGTAATTGGCACGTGGTGTGTGATCTACAGACAAGCGGTGATATCTGCCCCTTTCAGACCAACACACATTCAATTTCACCAAGTACTTAATTAGTAGCTTTTTATGACATGCTTGCTGAAGGCCAGTGGGTCTATTCATCCCCCAGCCCCCACCCAAGAATCAGCACTGGGTCAGACACAGGGATACTGCCCATCAAGCTCTGGATCACAAACTGTTTCTTCCCTTGAAGCTTAAAGGTAAAAGTGGAAGCCCAATGATGATGATTGAGAATTCCTGGAAGGATACAATCTATTAAGATATGTATATTAATTAATCTTTGTGTGCCTCACAGTTTTATCTATGGCTTCAACTGTGAAAATTACTCCTATATGTTTAGGTTTAAACAGGAACAATGTACAGTTAGTTACAATTATGAAACTATAAACTACCCTTAGATCAACATTAGGCCTCCTTAGGTCACATTACACATTTCAGGGCGTTGGAAACAGGATCTTTACTTTTTGATTAACAAACTTTAGAGTTACAGTACCTGGATCTGGTCCAACTGATTTTTCAAAGCCTGGGACTGGGGACCTGGTATGGATGTCACCAGCGAAGGACCAGCTGGTTCCTCTTTCACAGCAGCAGCAACCGAATTGCTTGCACTCCTCCTCAGATAGAAGGCTGTTTGTACTGTAGTTCAAAGATAGAAAGTTATTATCAATGAGTCAGCCCTCTATCAACTGATTAATCAAAAAGAATAAACATTACTGCACCCAGGACAAGCTCAAGCATTTCTATCTTTCTCAGCTTGCCAGATTTTCACCACTCTGAAAAAAAATTATTTTTCATTGAGCTGAGCGTTACAATGCTGACTGTTCCCACTTCTTCTTCAGCTTTGTGTAATCATGATTGTTCCAGGTGTCTCCCTTAACTGAGTTTAACAATGATTGTTCCAGGTGTTTCCCTTAACTGAGTTTAACAATGATGGTTTCAGGTGTTTCTCTCAACTGCGAATAACAATGATAGTTACAGCTGTCTCCCTCAGCTGTGTAACAATGACTGCTCCAGGTGTCTCCATTACCTGAGTGTAACAACGACTGTTCCAGCTGTCTCCAATAACTGAGTGTAATGACTGTTCTAGCTGTCTCCCTCATCTGTGTAACAATGATTGTTCCAGGTGTCTCCATTAACTGAGTGTAATGACTGTTCCAGCTGTCTCTCTCAACTGTGTAACAATGATTGTTCCAGCTGTCTCCCTCATCTGTGTAACAATGATTGTTCCAGGTGTCTCCATTAACTGAGTGTAATGACTGTTCCAGCTGTCTCTCTCAACTGTGTAACAATGACTGCTCCAGGTGTCTCCATTACCTGAGTGTAACAATGATTGTTCCAGCTGTCTCCAATTACTGAGTGT